TATTGTTAAATTGCTCGTGCACGTAGGAGTAATTCCTCCCACCTTCTCTTTGTACTTGTTCAACTTCCCAATTCCCACTAATAAATGTATAAAATAAAAAGGCAAAGAAATGCGTTAATTAATTAATAAGTAATCGCAGAAAATATTTAATCAAAATGTTTAGTTTTGGGATAGTTTAACTCTGAAGAAAATGATAATAACTTGCCACGTGGTGCATGCTCCTCTCGTTTCACGTGAGAAATAACGAGAGTGACAAGAAGGAGAGGTGTATGCAACTCTTTACACTCAAGATTATTTCTAATCAAGAATGGCACGGAAGCATTAGTCAACTATTATGGTAATTTGCTAAGGTTGGCTAGTTGGGCTTTCAAATCGAAAAAGGGGGGAGCTCTGCAGGTCCACACATATGCTATATAAAATATTGGGCTTAAAACCCAAAACGAAAACAATTTTTTTTAGAGAACTTTAACGAAAAATTCCGGTACTGTTTACTTTAATTAAAAACCACATTTTTATACTAAAAGGTCAATCTTGGTACTATTCAATTTACCCCTTATTTTGTCATTTTCATTAAAATTCAAAGTTTTCAAATATTTTTCATTAGTTTTTTTTTTATTGCAAAGGCCCATCCGTGTTCAAAGGTAATGTTTATCTTGATTGCTCCATTTAGTCACGTGCGTGTTAGTGCTAAATTATCCATTTAATAACACAACTATCCACTTATCCTCTTGATCATGCTTATCATAGATTGCTGTTTGAACAATTCTGCATGGCTCCATTTTTGCGATATTCAGTAACATTTTTATGGACAATCCTTACATGTTAGTGCTGTACACAACGTTTCAAAATCTTCAAATAAAACACGTAAAATATTATAGTAACTAATCAATCATTGTTGGACCATTTTTTCATTAAAAATTACATTTTTAAATAATTATATCAAAAAAGTTATTTTCCTTGTTCATACTGCTATATATAGATGAATAAGTACATAATATGATACATATGCTGCAGTTACGTGAATCTCAATAAAAATCTAGCCAGGGAAATTAAATCCGATCAAATTAAGAAATAGTGCATTGCATGCACCAACTTTATAAACCACGACTATTCTCAAAATAACATAAACAATCAATTCGGGTTTCCTCGAACCAAATCAAATCGGCTTCCACGAATAGTGCCGTATTATAAAAGTTAAATCTTCAAGTTATTCATGTTTAGTGCAAATTTAGAGCACGGTATATCAAATTAGGAACGCAATAAAAAAGAGAGAAATAAAGAAATTGATAAATGAAAAGAAGAATAAATCTTATCTATTTTATAGCGTATAACAGGAGGAATTGGAGCTAGATATTTAGAACCGAAACTAACTGAGCAGTAGCAGCATGAAATTTGGCAATTAGTTATCGTGCTGCGATATTTGCAAGTGGCCTTCTACCACAGTAGTAGAGAAAAGTGTTGTCATTGCACCATGACATTGTGCTGCAATATTTGTTATTTTTGCTTGAAATTTGGGAAATAATAATTGGTTTCGTATTTTTTGTCTGATCTAAATTAATAAAACATGGAACGTTATCTCTCTAGGTTAATTATAATTGAGCTTGAAAGCCTTACACGTAGAGAGAAAGAGCAAAACGTGTGAGGGACTCAAACGTGTGACCAAAGCCACAAAACTAATTGAGTCGGTGGTGTAAGCCTATAACAGCCAACTGGGTGTCGTCCACATCTCTCTCTCTCTCTCTGCATATATATATACGCGCCAACTTTCTCCGTATCTTCTTCCTTTTTAAACCGGTTCGACTCTCCTGCGACTTTAGAGAGATAACAAGTTAGCAGCTCCATTTAAACATCTTCCGTCGATCGATATATATATATATATATATATTATACTATTTGATTCACATCATCATGTCTAAGATGAGGAAAACCCTACGAACCAAGTTGAGATCTGCGTTTTCCAAGCCAAGTGAGTTCCGATTTCTATATTTCTATGCATGTTAATTTCCTTAATTTATGATTACTAGTTGATTAATTTTACATTTAAAAAAATTAATATGTGTTTTGAAGAATCGATAGGTATTGCTTAATTTGCTTGTTAATTGATGGGTAATTTAATTTCAGGGAGCAAAAAGGACAATGTCGGTGGGAATAGCTTCTCCAGCAAGTTAAACGTGAACGAAGAATACTTGGAAGTTTTTAGAACAAAATCGTACGTAGAAATGTGGGATAGGGTTCACGGACAGCTGCCGAGTACTAGTCTTTCTTCGTCTAGCTCGTCGCTTCCGCCTAATTTGTTTTTGGACCGCTCCGAATATTTGCTAGAACCGCGGCAAGAAACCCTTAAAAACATCGTCGACAAGGAGGGCATAAATCTCCACCACCTTCTCACCGACTACTTCGAAGCCAGCTTAGATGCCTGCCACATTTGTGACATGCTCCTCCGTAGCATGCACCAAACCCGGGCAGAAAACCGACACACGATGAAGCTCGTACTAAAACTCAGCCAAAGGGTACGCATACTTAATAATGATAATATCGACATTACTGATGACGACCAATGCCTGGCAATTTTCGGGGAGCTTGGCACATTTGCCCTAGCTAAAAATCCGTTGTCGATAATCAGCCCTGGGCAGTTCCGTGACATTCATGATAGCTACGCGGCGCTGTTCAATAGGCTCACTTTAAGGCACAAAAAGGTGCGCAGGGCCGCAAAGCGTAACAGAATATGCAAAAAGGTTGGAGGGGTGGGTCTGGTGTTGTCGCACACCGCGCTTTTGATCGCGTTTCTTGTGTTTGCAATCCACAGCATGATTGGAATCGTGGTGGCGCCGGCGCTCATGGCCTGCTCATTGGGTTTGTGCGTGAGAAAAATGGACTCTGCGGCCGAGTGGTTGAAGGCTAGGTTTCCCGAGAGCCACGGGAAGCAACTTGACATCGCGGCGCAAGGGGTTTATATTTTGATCAACGACTTCGATACAATGAGTAGGATGGTGAGACGTTTGCACAATGAAGTGGAGCACCGGAAAGTGGTGGCCGGAATATGTGTTAGAAGTGTGAGGAGTATTATTACTACTAGTAATGGTGGATCAGCTTCAAACTTTGACATATTTAAGAAGGTGGTGAGGGAATTTCATACGAGTGAGGCTAGCTTTTTGGGGCAGCTAGAGGAGCTTGAAGAACATATTTACTTGTGCTTGCTCACCATAAACAGGTCGAGAAGGCTTGTGATTCAAGAAATATTGGCAAGTACCGAATTAGGTGCTAATTCGTGACATCGTAATCGGTCATTAAGCTGGTAATCATACATCATGATTGATGTGAAGTGGTATGGGATGTTACGCAAAAAAAAGATGCAGATATATATGGTGACAATCAATGATATGTTGCGTGACATATATAGCTTGGCCGTGAGCTACAAGTCCAAATAATTTGGATGAAGTAGTTATCCATGCAATTGCTTCATCAACCAAGTTTTCTTCTTCATGTGGATCAACATCAGGTTAAGGGATTATTGTTACTTCGATCTGTAATTGCTACTTATGTGTGTGTGGTTTCACTGCCAGTGTTTCCATTCTTTTATTCTTTGTTCTTTGGTCTGTAACTTTATCAATGGGTATTCTATTTGTACGTAGAATCAATAAAATTACTTCATTTATTTATCAAATCATTCTGTTTTACTTTAAAAATATTTAGATCATGACTAGTAAAACTGTAAAAACTCAAGTACAGTTGAGTTTGCACCAGTGGTGCATATGTCGTTAATACCAAGTATACAAAACCAATTTCATTGCTAAACTACCCTGTCAATCAAAGAAGTAGTCATGGATCTACTTAAGGGCTTGTTTGAAAGTATTTTAATTTGTAAATGCTGAAAGTTCTTCTGGTGAAAATATTGTTGAAAGTTGAAACCAATCCTTGGTAAAAATGTAAGTGAATCTTGAAAAAACACTTAGAATGCTTTTCTACAAGAAGCATGTAATTGTTGCTTCTTACATGAAACACTTCAAATGCTTTTGAAATCCAAAAATATTTCCATTAAAAACTTTTTCAAATATTTTAAAAGTACTTTTCAAACGAGCCTTTGAGCATTTCCAAATGAGATGTCAAATTTTAAACATAAAAATGATAGTTGATAACTTATGTGGCAATTTGACATTTAGTACAATATTTTGCTCCACCCAATATGTTAAATAATAATGTCATTTAATAAATTTTTTATCTTTTTGTGGAGTCCAATGATTAAGGCAACCAATCAAATATTTCAAAAACGTAACAACATTTATTATATATTATATTAATCTATTAAAAAATCATTTAACGAATTTGACATCTGCTGTCAAATTTGATAGCAAAAGGTTTTGCCTTCAAATGATTCAACGTCACGTAAGAAATTGAAGGTTCGGTTGGAAAGAGTTGGCTACTATTATTTACTGTTGTATTTTTATGTGGTAATTTTTTTCATCTCTTTTGAAGATGCCCATAATTTTGTATGACTAAGTAGTATCTTTTAAGGTAGCATTATTTTTCATTGTCGTACTCTGAAAACGAGATTCTCATTGTCATCTTCTCCTTGTCCGATGTCCATAGAGAATGCCAAAAGGCCTACAATACGAGGCCCAGTTTTTTTCTAAAAAGCCCAACAACTTCAAATGACAAAAGCACAGATAACCTAATTTTCGTCAGAAATGACAACTAGCATCCCATTACAAGGATAAAAGTGTTTCACGATAATAACTTTTATGACACAAAGTAACAAAGTCGTGATAACTTTATATGCATGTCATACAAGTCAATTTCATGAACATTTCAGATGATTTGGCAATGATATAATGCATTATAGAGATAAATTATACATTGTATTATGTTATTAATATAAAACGTCATAATAACTTTATATTCAGGCCATATAAATTAATTTCATATACATTTCAGACCAAAGCTCATACAGTTTAATAATCATGCTAATAAAGTACAACTTGAAAGATAGGGCATTTCCAAGAAAATTTAACAATTATAGTAACAATTCATATTACAATCGACAAAAAAAAATCATATTACAAGAATATATGATGATTATAATTTCTGTAGGAAAAGGCAAATGATTCTACATGTTTGAAGCTGCATCTTTGACGGCGCTTCTTATTCAAACGGTACAACACCGATGTTGAATTGGGATCGAGCACCATACTTTCTGGGTATAAAAAATGACAATATATAACCACGTAGTTTGATAAACCCAAAAAATGTGGCGGGCTGCCTCTTAAAAATAACGTAAGCACGCCTCTGCCGTTGATTAACCCAGAACCGTGAAGGCAGCCACTTGAATTCATTAAACCCACAACACCGGATTATTTATGAAAACTGTACTTCGCTGGCGAACGTTTGGCCAAATCCCCAGTTGGCGGGAACAATGTTGTTAAACAGTTGAGTTTCGCCGTCGGTTGTGGTGACTCTGAACGACAGAGATTGGCCGTTGAGGTAGGCGTTGGACTGCCAGTTTGCTCCCCAATTCCTGGACATTACAATCCAGCCAGTGTTGGATCCTTTAATGTAAGCAGATTGGATAGATCCGGCTCCTCCGACATTGGTGATCAGCACAAGCTCAAAGTAGTTTCTCCCATTTATTGTGAATCTCACACCGCCCCTCTTCTTGCATGGTACCCTGCACACACACGATCCAAATCCCATAAATATATGTAGTACTACACAAAGGGTTCAATACAAAAATTCTTTGTGCAGGAGAAGATGAACGCGTTGAAGTTGTCGAATATCTACGTGTCGATAACATGTTGATAGATTGTCGTTGACATTGTATCGGTATGGTCAATAACATGTTTGATACATAATGGAAGCTACAATAATATTAACACCATATCGATAACATATCAACCTCGGATTAGAAATTAATGGTCGAATTCGAACTAATTCAATGATTAAAGCTTAGTTTTCGGGCTAATTAAAGTTACCTTTGGAACAAGACAGGGATGATGCCACCGCTGTAAATCCCGATCTTTTCCCAGGCAGGCTGAGCCATGTCGAAATGCTGAAGGGGTGGGTTGCACCATCCTCCATTGTCGTTTGGAAGATCTAAATTGGGAGGACAAAAGTTTGTTGCAGTAATTGTCACGGACCTTCCTTTTACGCACCATCTAGAATCTGTTTTGAAGTCGCATATGATCTTGTAGCATTGTCCACATGAAGCTCCGTCGTTAAACAGGGCGGTACTTAAAGCCGCCGTCCTAGTCCCGTACCTGGTGGAATACAGGTTGCCATATCCACAAGCTCCCCCTGCAGTGCATAAAAACCCGTAACATGTTAGAATTAGGATAGGTCAAGGGTTCGGTTAATCATAATAATATATTAGTAAGGAAAGCACTTCCGCATAAACGCAGAAGAAAATCAACTACGTACGTACCCATAGTTCCAGAGGCATCACTGCCTCCATAGAATGTGGCATGACCTCTACTCCAGGCAGATGCTGTGAATGCAGTGACATATGTCGAGAGACTACATACTCCAAGAAAGATTGCTAATGGAAAAATGAGCATCGCCATTGTTGAGAGAGAGAGAGAGAGAGAGTATAGGGGGGGGAGAGAGAGAGAGAGAGTATGGGGGGGGGGATTGGTATTTGGGAGTGTATTTACATTAATCGGGAATTTCCAAAGTATAAATAAGAGAGCAGATCGACTCAGTGATGCCCATGCAACCACCTCACATGGAATCTCTGCAGCCGGATTGCACGTATATGATTAATTTGGTGTATTAATTAAGTTATTAATTAAATAATAAATTGAATTATCCATCTCTCTGTCTCTCTGCAAAGTCTGAATTGTTCAGCAATTATTTCCACGTTGTCTCTCGCTCCCACCTCCACTCCACATGCTCTTGGCCAACAGAAAAGCCGGGAATAATCAAAATGCAGAAATCCAAGTTGCAGGTTGTTGCTATTTGAAGATAAAATGGGCAAATCTTTAATGTGTTTTTGTATGATTGGAACTTATATATTTCAGGGTCGTATCGTAGTACACAACTTCACATGCTACTTCCTTGAGGCTTGACCTTATATGATATGGCATCGTTCTTCTTTCTTGCATTACACATGACCCCTTTTTCACATTACACACTACACTTTCCTTAGTTGTATATTCCTACGAAGAATATTTTAATATAATAGATTGTATATGCCCTTTTTACACGAAACCATCAACTATATCCTTCATTTAATATAATAGATTGTATATTCCTAAATTATTTTATCGCAACTTCTTTCTTCAATCTTTTATGTACGATGATCGTTAAGATTCCTTCACTAACCAATAAGACAATTTTGTTGTAAAAAATAACTTATAAACTTCTTTTTTTATATTTGGCCTATGAAGAAAAGAAAAATTCCTGAATTCGTCACGCAGATATAACCACGTTGCTTTGTTTAAAGAAAAAAAAAACAAATGAATTTGAATTTTTGGGAATGAAGTTTTGGTATTGATCGTACAAGTATTTTCATGACAGTTGCCACGTGAATCGTGATGCAGCACCGTCGAGCATTTTTGAGAGAGAGAGAGTCCATCGACTCGTAATATAGTTTATTAAGCACCGCTACTGAGATACGCTACTGAGATCTAGAAGGCTCCCATACAATAGAATATAAGAAATAATTTGACAATATCACATGAAGTCCCCAAAACCAAATTAAGTTCTGAGACCCATTTGCTTGTTTGACAAATAAAAACCCAGAAAAAAAAAGGGCGGAGGAAAAACCATAAAGTTTCCCGGCGCAATCTCAGGAGGTTTTACGTAAAGCAAACAACATTGTATACCTTCAATAAATCAGAAGGTCGTTTGAGTGTGATGGTTAGGAGTTGTTCAAGTTGTTCAGTTGTTGCTTAAATGATTCAAAGTCAACTGCTCAAATCTTGCACATGATAGTACACGCCATTAAGGACTTTGTGATCCTATATTCACACTGTACGCTTCTGTGTTTTTTCCATTTTGTCTGAAAAGTAATTTTCATTAATCCGAAAGAATGTTACATGCCAACATATATGAAGGCAAAATAATCTTGATACATTGGGGAAAAACAAATACATAAAATTTCAGCCCAATTAAATAAGCAGAAGCTAAAACCTCCTTAATCTATGACCCCAGAAAGTTGCATCAGTCGCTGTCACCGCTACGAAAGTCTTGTCAACAGCTACTTGACACAGATACTAGAGAAAATGATTGAGTGGTGAAATCGACCAAGACTTCGCATCACAAAAGTACCAAACCCGCAACCAAAAGCACACCACATCCAGATTTTTTCACCAAAAACCAAGAACCAAGAGATAGTGACCAGATCCAAATCTCATCTACTAATCCCTGCAAATATATACAAACACAGTAACACATGGATAGAAGGTGAGGCTAAAGGGGTATGCAAAATACCCTTAGTTTGGCAGCCGCAAAACACTTGGCCTCAAGGGACATCCGTCATGCCGGTTGGGGTAGGGAAAATAAAGGAGGGAAATAAATCTGGAAATCATATATGGCGTAGAGTGCGCATATCAGAACATAAGACGGGTTAGGGATGGATTATGTGGAAGGGAGACAAGGTGAAAAAGTAAGGGAAAATGCAGTTTTGAATTTGGAAAGAAACAGCCAAAGGAGAGGGAGGGGAGAAGAGAAGGGACATGAAGCCCAAAAGTGAGATAAACTCGTGGGAAAATTTGAGACAGGGCTCAAAGAAATAGAGATAAAACTCAGGGAAGTTGAAAAAAAGAGAAAGGGAACAGGAGAAGGAGGAAAAGAGGATGGCAAGGAGATTGGACAAGGGTAGCCACCGGCAGGCTAGGGCTGGCGGCAAGAGTGTGTGCAAACTTGGGAAACTAGAGAGAAAACTTGTTTTTGACTTTTAGAGAGTTGATAGGTTTTGTGAAGGTTTTTACACTTCTGATTACGTAATTGAAATTAGATCAGTCGTGAATCAAAAGAATATGTGGTTGTTTAAGTACATGTAAACTCTATTATTCTGGGGTTTTTTAGTTGTTATATTCTTAGTCAAAGTTACAATGACCAATATTTAACATCTAAAAGTTCGTTTGAAAGTGCTTTTAAAATGACTGAAATCGCTTTTATTGAAAATATAATTAAAATCAATCCTTACTTAAAATGCAAGTGCATCATGAAAAAGCATTTAAAAGTGCTTCTTGCAAGAAGCACGTAAGTAGTGCTTATTGTAAGAACTATTTCAAGTGCTTTTGAAACCCAAAAACATTTTATCTAAAAGCACTTTCATTCATTTTAAAAACACTTCCAAACGAGCTTAAATCATCGGACTATAGGATAAAGGATAATAACTAGTTGTAATGTGATAAACGCGAAACACGCTCTTTGGTGTATTTCGCAATTCGTGATTTGGAATTGGGGGCTAGCATGCATCAAAGGGAAGATTTGAGATTGAAAAATGCAGGAATAAGTATTTAACATAACAACTGATAACAGTTAAAATTCGAGGCTAATACCGGGTGTCTAAATGAAAAGGAGGAACTATCTGTCTAGAATCATGAACCACTTAAGGAACAGTTCGCATTAAAAATCGTCGTCGTCGTCGTCCTCTGCAATATGGTTGGCAAGCTCTTGCTCCTGTTGTTGCCTCTCTCTCCTCTCAGCACTCTCTTTCTCCTTGTGTGGATTTGGAGGAAACCGCAGGGCCCGAACTGCTTCGTTGTGCATGTTGAGACAAAAGGCAATCCTGGAGTTGAAAGCAGCCTGAGGCTCATTAGTAGAGTAAATGTCTCCAGTTTCCTTGGACACCATCCACCCATTTGCATGATCTAACGAGGCCTCAATGGCGCCGTCGCGGATAGCCTTGGCCACGATGCTCTCAGCATCCGCAATTGGGTTTCCTGAAACCAATCTTAACTTCTCGGCAACACCAGCAAGCGAGATGCGCGAATAAGAGATGCTGATATTCCGCAATCCGGTCCTGATGACATTATGTCGCAGCCGAACAATTAAATTGTGGGTTTGATCCGTACCGAAAGTGCCAGCAAACTTTGATGCAACATTTCTGAATAGTTCTAAATCACCGATTCGAACAGCCTGACAATGCCAACAATTTGAAAAAGAAAAGGAGATAACATTTATCAGTTGATATTTAAGCAAGTAGTCAGACATCATTTAGGCAAGACGATTAACAGTCATGAGAATGTAGACTCACATTTGTAAGTTCAAAGTATGGCCTCAAAGCTTTTTCCATTCCTTTCTGCATAAAGATGATCCTCTCTGGTATTTCCCCAAGCAGCAGGCGAACCAAGACAGCCCATTTGTTACATTGAATTCGGAAACCTTGGGCTGCAAGAGGGGCTTTACGAGCAGCCTGCAAGAGAGACTCTTTTGCATCTGTATACTCCAATTGTATTGTCCGAATCTTTCCAAGGTAGAAGAGATAACGGCAAAACTGCATATAAAACAATTGTCTTAGAAATTCGCAATTTAGACACTTCAAACACGATGTCCAATTCTGGTAAAGAACGTTGACAAGCATTGATGGACACCATTAGGCACATATCACCAGAAAGCTGGTGAAGTGTACGACTCGAATATTGAGTCTTGAAAAGGTTTAAGAAAAAAAAACCCATGAGAAATGTAAACAAAGTTTCAGGGGGGAAAACAAAGCTCAAAATGCAGTTGCAAGTTCTTAAGGAATGCAAAGCTCCAACAGGGAAAAAATGGATAACTCCCGAGACTCTAGCTTTATAAAACTGGATTCTTGTTATATAATCTGGATAGAGATTGCTGTACCTGTTGGTTTGAATGTGCTTCAAATCGTGGTGCCTTAGACCTTAGCTTCTCTGCCTGGTCATACAGGTTATAATGGAGATAGTTTCGAAGCAACAGGTTGAGAAGTGTTTCCTGCATAAAAACAAACCATATAGTTTTAAGTTCTAACGTCCCAAATTCAAAACAAACTGTAATCCCCTTGGACACTCACCTGACCCAACTCATCATGACGCAATGTGGCAATGCGATGCAGCGCAAGGAGGTTGCTAAAAAACAGATGCAATGAAATTAGAGCAGATACTACAATCCGACAGAGCAACCAGTGTCCTCAGGGTTCCTTTCATGTGTTAAATGTGTACAAGCATGCATAAGAACATATGTAGCGAGAGGTTAAACTTAAACGTTGCAAACAAAAGAGACATATTGGGTCAATTAACAGCTTACCCCCGAATTTCAGCAAGATTTCCGGTCAGCTCATAGCAAAACGAGTAATAAAAGTACAATCTGGATGCTAGAACATCGACGGTTCTTCTATTGAAACTCTTAATTCGAGCAATACTAGCTGAGGAACACGCTTTCGCCTGAAAGAATGACGCATGGAAAAGAAAAGAAAGTTTTCAAAATTGGCAAAACTCAATACAGACAATGGAGAAATCAATCAAATAAGAAGAGCAGAGTTATCGAATCAACCTCATCGAATCTTTTCTGATCAATCAGAAAAAGAATCACAAGCAAGTAACAGTAGATTTCGAGCTCGGGCAACGAGTGCTTTGCCGGAGCTTGAACAGCAGACGCTGCAGCATCATTGTCAACTTCCATGTCATGATTATCATTCTGCGCAGTACAAATTCAAACACAATAATTTGCACGAATTCAAACAAGAACATTGACTGAAATTAATGTAACAGTAAATAAACATTGTTCGATTATTCAAACACCTTAAGGTAGGCAGACAAATGCTGGTGTGCTTCAGAACCGGGAAGAAGAGCGAAATCGAGAAATGCAGAGAGCACGCCGGCTGTGAGCTTGCGGCGGAGCGCAACCGTGAGGCGGACGGCGCGGGATATTCTGCGGACCTCTTTGGTGGAGGAAGCGGCCTCAATAAACGACGCCGCCTCCTTCAAATCTACGGTGTTAGGAAAAGCCCCAAATTTCAGAATTAGATATGCAACTGATGAGGAAACGAAAACCCTAGAAGTTGGAAGAAATCTGAGACAGAGATTTTGAAGCTTACGCTGCAGAGTGGAAGCTGAATCGGAATGGAAAGAGGGTTTGGATTGGGATTGGGATTCGTCGTCTTTCATCTGCACGTCTTGAGTACTCATCTCTTCTTTCTCCTTCAATAACACCTACCTACCAGAATTTTTGCAGCACCTGCTTTTTCTCTTGGTTGCAGGCAGTTTATAGGATTTTAAAAGAGTTTACAAATTCTGTGACATTTATCAATATTTTAAATCAAAGTAGAATTTATGAGTATTAACTGTTTCATAAAGATTTTAAAATTTTATAAAACTTCATAGAAATCTGCATGTATTTATTCAAGATTTTGAAGTAATTTATAAAAATTTAATTACATTATATTTGGATGAAGAAATTTAAAATTACTAAAGAATTTTAAAATGATGGAAATTGAAATACCGAGATTTTATTTCTAGAATTTGTGAATTTCCATGTTTGGAACAAATGAACTGAATAGGAATTTTTTTTATTTTTAAAAGCTCAATCATAGAAATTGGGAAATGACACATAAATACATTGAATTTAAACTTGGGAATTGGAGATCACAAATTCCAAGTTTTTTTTTCTCGCGAAAATTCTAAACTTTTATGTTTATAAATTCAAACAAGGGAATTGATACATGTTAACTTATAAATTCTGACTTTGATCCAAATTATAAGTTTATTTCTCTCATACATAGTGTTAGAATTTGATCTTAAAGTATTTAAAGTGAAGGATTTGATGGATTTTATAGTGTTTTTTTTTTTTTTTAAGGTTTTAAGGAATCAGGCCATTTTGAATGAATTCACCTGAAATACAAATAAAGTCTATAAGACTCCATTAATTTTTTTTAATTTATAACCTTTTAAAAATCTTTTTTCAAGTTTTATTTCTCTTCAAGTCAAATTTCAGTCATCAATTGAGAGGAACCAAAATATCGCCATTAAAAATTGAAGAAACAAAATAGGAAAAAAAAAAATGTTATTGCCACTATAAAATTTTCATTGTTCACTTTAAATTTTTATACTTAGGAAAAAAAATACATTTATATTACACTTTTAAAAATAATTCTTTATACAAATTTTTATTCTGATACAATGATATTTTACTCAAATTCTAGGAGAAGAATATTAAACTACGTCGCAATTGAGGTAAACCCGAAATCTTTCACTTTGCAACTAAGAGAAATATCATTAGATAGAGGGGTGAGTGCAGTCTGGGTTGGTTCAGCTTTGGGTTCAAAACACGATCCAACCCAAGTTCCAAACCACAATTGCGATTTAACATGCACACGTTACCAAATGAATTTTTGTATGCTACGGTCAGAGAGTTTTTTAGCGCATGCAATATATTTAGTCAAAAACTCCGAAAACCCAATTAAAAACTGAATTATAACTCATAAATTTTGAGAAAATATAAAATTAAATTTTAAGAAATCTTTTACGTGTGAATTAAGGAAAATATTACAATACCTTATGATGCTATCATACCATTTATTGAGGCCCAAAACCATACGTTTCGGATACAAACCCGCACCCAACAAATCTTCGCATTTAAAAATACATTCATCATCTTAAAAGCACCACAAACATGCATTATACTGTTCTTGCAAACCAAAAATGAAAGAGGAGGAGGAGGAGGAGGAAGGAGGAGGGAGGAGGGGAAGGGGAGACCCGGGGGGGGAGATAATTCTGACACCAAAAACTTCGGCAACATTAAAATAAAAGAATACGCTTATCAATCCAGATGGAAAATTACAACTGTTCAAACATCTCACCTAAATCTACACGACAAAACGGAGGGATTCCCTCATGGAACTCTAAACTAAATCTACAGGGATCATGCCGTACAGTTAACATTAGAAGTCTGCCATACCACGGATAATAATAAACGACACGGAAAAAACGGAAACTTGTAAACATAGATGTTTGATAAGATAAGGCGTCCATTACTTGACACTGGCCATTTTTTTGTATGATGTTCCAATGACGCTTGTATCGCACCTCAAGCAGCTGCCTGGATCGGCCCATTTGACCTATAGCCACGTCCCCTTCCACGAAACCCTCCCCTCCCACGGCCACGACCTGCACACCAATATTGTATTGAGAACCAACGCATAAACAATTTTCGGTTGGCTACATCAGGGCTGCCCATGGAAGTCAATCAAGCAAAAGAATCCGGGCATGCACACACTACTCTCGTGTGGCTATATACAAGGGGAAAAAAGGAGATATACATACCACGGCCACCTTGAGCACGTGCTTCTTCAATGTATCCTCCATCTTGCTGAGCATCGTACTGGGGACCATTGTACCCTCCTCTTCCACGGCCTCGGAAACCACGTCCTCGCCCACGGCCCCTACCCCTAAAGTTGCCCTGACTCTGGTCGTAACCTCCATCGTCATATTCAGTTGAGACAAAGCCATTCCCTACAATTATTATCAAAACAATTTAACCATTAAAACACTTCAAATGCCTGTTTTAAATCGAAAACTAGCTACCATTCAGGATATAATACTGTCCACCAATCAAGACACCTAAAACCATCACAACATTCTTGAATCACAATTACTCAAATCATTTTAGAACGTATCTATATTAAGGTATACCGGGTTGAAATTGGTAAAGGAAACCATTAAAGTGCCAGCAGAATTAATAGAAGAAAATTATAGAAAAAGGCAAGTAAAAGTGTAGAAACAATCTAACAGGCTACCTCTGAACCTTCCCCTTCCTCTGCCACGTCCACGTCCACGACCATTTGTTGTGCCCTCTGCAGAGAACAGAAATGTTCAACAAAATGTAGAGTAATACTAGAGGAGGAGGGGGGAGGGAAGAAGACAATTGCTAATTAAATGAATGTGGTTAGTAAAATGGTAGTACCTCCTTCATAATCAATCTCCGTTGATGCCTTCACAAGCTCGGCAGGTAAAGGGGGCTGATACCTGATGGTAGCAGTAGTTCACAAATGTTAATATGAACAACGGAAAAGGAACAACGGAACATAATTAGTACCCGAGTTTCATTTTCGACATGAAAGCAAGCAACTTATACTTGCAGACCGTAACAACATATACAACTATTCTGCTATAATTTCTTAGCCTAATTTGTAAAGAAGGTTCTTACATATCTTAATGTGTGACTCAGCAATCCATAATGCTAATAACCAATGTAAATTGTGTATACATGTATTAGATACACAATTTATAAATAACCAGAGTTATAGGAGATCCTCCACTCCTTTGAGTAATATGGTTCCATATATTGTCAGGAAGAGATTCTACATACGCTAAGACAACTTGACTACACCCTCGGGTTATATTTCAAACAAGAAAAAGGTAACTAGTAGAAACTCACCCGATGGAGGATTGATTTATTTCCTTCTTTGAGAGAGTTATCACAATCATTGACACATGCCTTGTTGTCTCCAGACTGTGACAAAAACAGGACAACACGAGGTATAAAGTCACCAATAACAGACAAGGCCAAAAAAATAGTACCCCTCATGAGGTACTGCAACAAATCAGAGGTGTTCAAAATACAGTTTAAAGTTTAAACTAGGCTTACGTATCAAGGCCTTCCTCAAGAGGTTCATAGATATCAGTTATGTCTGTGGAACCAATTGTAGTGTTCTGATGAAGACCAACAATTCTTCTCTGAAACAACAGTAATAAGAATATCTTGTCAGCCTAATCCAAGAACGGAAACAAACATCTCACAAACAATATATAACGATTCAGAACAAGACACATAACCTTGATTAACTCCACAATCGTTACAGTCTTGTTGATGGCTCTTCCCATGGCCTTGAACACAACTTCATCCGATCCTTTTTCCTGCAAGGATGCGGCACAAGCGGATAAAGAAAACCTAAGGTATTGTAATAACTAATATAGGTCTAAAATAACCTAAATTACATCCGAAGTCTCTTGGATAAGCAAAATCTAAGGTGCTGTATCAAGTAATATAGGTTTATCAAAACCTAACATAAATTCGAAATCTCTATTCAATCTTTATTCATTCATCCCTACGCATTCTCAAACTTCCATACGCATTATATACTACCATATAATCGCATACGAGCAGAAAATCAACAGCAGCAGGTAAACACACAAGATTAACATCATGGTTTGAATTTGTTTCATCATAATACACAACAAAATTTCATTATTTTCAATTTTTTTTTTCAATTCTATGCATCCGAAAGCAGAAATTAAACACAAAAAATGGAAGCAAAAGAAATAGAGGAGAGGGAGAGAGAGACCTGAAGCAGGGTCATGGCGTAGGTGATGTAGTTGCGCATCCTGCCCTGACTGGTAATCCTAATCTCGTTCTCATCGATAGGCGTCTCCACTCTCGGCTTCTCCACTCTCTGGTAACGATCCATCTCTTCCGCCCTACAATTTTTTAAAAGCACAGAATTAATCATCTCCAAAAAAACCAAAAGAAAATTTAAATTAAACAATCACGCTATACAAATTCCAGGACAAACAAAACAAAACCAGGTCCCAAACGCACAGCTCAACACAAACAACAAAATCAAAAAATTTCTCGGGAAAACAGATTCTCGGAAACCAAACAGAAGCTAAGGAGGCGGAACATGCAGAATCGACAGGGGAGAGAAGGAAACGGAGGGTTGGATCTGGACGGAGAGAGGAAGGGGAACGTACCGGTGGTGGTGGTGGTGATTCAAAAAAGGATAAGTAAGCGCTCCACACAAAAATAAAGCCCTCTTCTACGGCTTCGTTTTTCTTTTACGCCCTAATCCGCAGCGCGGGGTTGTCTCTTGGTTTATATAGTCTCCACGAAACTACCCTAACCACGATCTTTACTTCCTTCCCCGTCTATGTCTCCAATCAGTTGCTACTTCCTCAAGGGGTTTGTAGAGCCCGGCCCATATACGGTGTTGACCCTCTCATAATTTTCAAATATCAATGAATAAAAAACACACTTTGCAATGTCGTATTTTTATAATTTCGTCTTTCTCTTTAAACTTTCAATTTGATTTTAAACCTCTATTTTTTTTTCATTTCTTCTAAGTTTTCCATGTTAAATATTCTGTAAAATTGATGGTTATTTTCTTCCATTTTATACAATAGAATTGCATATGTGTAACTTTAATTATTTTCTTAATTATTTCTCATAACTCGATTATTATATTTTCCAAGTATTTATCAGAGTTTCAAGTATTTATTTTTTTACCCTGTAGATATGGTATTTTGTTGACGTATATACCCCTAAAAATTAGTCATGTTCGTTACGCATACAGAAATTTTGAACATTTATGACAATTAATTGGTCGTTACATTGGCCCTACTTGTAAGTTTAGAGAGACTTGTCACTTAGTATTAAGGTCTAGTAGTATTCTTCTTCAAATGCAGGTGAAAAGTCTTAGGCCCTGTTTGGTATTGCTTTTTTTTTTTTTTTACTAAAAACTGCTTCACTTTAAAGTTAAGCAGTAAAAAAGAGTTTGGTAAAAGTAAAATATTCTGCTTATTTTAAAAGCAACAGACTCCAGACAACAACTTTTAAAAGCAACATGTAAAATGCTTTAAAAAGCTGTTTTAATAAAAAGCATAGTTCGGTCTTTTAAAAGCTACTTTTTTTTTTACTAAAATATTCCTTCCCCGTCTATGTCTCCAATCCGTTACTACTTCCCCTCGCCCAATCTTACCTTTTGGGCCTGCTGAGTACGCATAAAAGCCTTAGGGTTTGTGGAGGCCGGCCCATATATAGTATTGAGCCTCTCATAATTTTCAAATATCAGTGAACAAAAAACACAATTTACAATGTCATAGTTTTGTGATTTCGTCTTCTCTGTAAACTTTCAATTCGATTTTGAACTTCTATTTTTTTTCAATTCGTCTAAGTTTTCCATGTTAAGTTGATGGTTATTTTCTACCATTTTATACAATAGAATTGCATATGTGTAACTTTAATTATTTTCTTAATTGTTTCTCATAACTCGATTATCATATATTCCAAGTATTTATCAGTTTCAAGTATTTATTAGTTTACCCTATAGATATTGTATTTGTTGACGTATATACCCCTAAAAATTAATCATGTTCGTTATGCATACATAAAGTTTGAACATTTGTGACAATTAATTTTACATTGGCCCTAATTGTAAGTTTAGAGAGACTTGTCACTTGTTACTAAGGTCTAGTAGTATTTTTTTTCAAATGCACGTGAGAAGTCTTAGGTCCTGTTTGGTATTGCTTTTTTTTTTTTTTTCCTAATAACTGCTTCACTTTAAAGTTAAGCAGTAAAAAAGTGCTTGGTAAAAGTAAAATATTCTGCTTATTTTAAAAGCAACATACTCCAGACATCATCTTTTAAAAGTAGCATGTAGATTGCTTTTAAAAGCTATTTTAATAAAAAGCATAGTTGGGTCTTTTAAAAGCTGCTTTTTTTTTTTTTTACTAAAATATTCCTTCCCCGTCTATGTCTCCAATCAATTACTATTTCACCTCGCCCAATCTTACCTTTTGGGCCAGTTGAGTACGAATAAAAGCCTTAGGGTTTGTGGAGGCCGACCCATATATAATGTTGAGCCTCTCATAATTTTCAAATATCAATGAACAAAAAACACAATTTACAATGTCGTATTTTTGTGATTTCATCTTCTCTGTAAACTTTCAATTTGATTTTAAACCTCTATTTTTTTTTTTTTCAATTCGTCTAAGTTCTCAGTTTCAAGTATTTATTATTGAGTGCTACTATTACCACCCATCTGTCTTATTTCTACACCCGCTCTTTATTAAAAAGTTTAATTACCAATTTATCCTCACGTAAAATGTCAAATAAGGACTAAGGGAAACAAGATCAGATCGTTCACTTCCACCCACACTCCCAGCAACTCGTAATCTCAATTCCCAAACGTCTCGTCGTCACTTTATTCCTTCTAAATTTTAATTTATGTTTATTGGATCCTAAATTATTGAATCACGAATTGATCTTTGTATTCGTCGAGCTCGTCATGGTACAAATCCCAAACACACTGAATGCATCAAGCCATATATGGATGTCATAAGAGTTTCTTTCTCTATCGATTTCACTTCTTATTCTTTCGGCTTTGATTCTATGATTGGTTGAGCGACTGACTCTTCGTTCTATTGTTGCATTACCTCCGTGGTCAGCCATGGGGATAGTCGGGATGGTGGTAAAAAGTGTAGAATGGTGGTCGCTGTTTTACTTCCCTCTATTTCAATCATATAAATATAATCATTTTCCTTATATTAAAATATTATTTAAATAATTAAAAAATAGATGGGAGAACAGGCTAGAGAAGCAATATGGATGTCAAGGGGTAGGTTGTACTTCTCATCAGTCAGTAATGGTTATGGGAAGGGGTGGGTTGTGTTGGTGAACAGTGTCAAGGGTGGAGATTGGAAGGGTACTTTGGGGATAATGGTGGGTGGGAAGATAGTAGGTTATTTTTCTTATTTTGTATGGTGGGTGAGATTATAACGTGGGTGTAAACATAGGACAATGCGTATAGTAACACTCTTATTATTTTACCCTATAGATATGGTATTTTGTTGACGTATATACCCCTAAAAATTAGTCATGTTCGTTATGCATACAAATATTTTGAACATTTGTGACAATTAATTGGGCGTTACATTGGCCTTAATTGTAAGTTTAGAGAGATTTGTCAGTACTAAGGTCTAGTAGTGTTCTTCTTCAAATGCAAGTGAGAAGTCTTAGGCCTTGTTTGATATTGCTTTTTTTTACCAAAACTGCTTCACTTTAAAGTTAAGCAGTAAAAAAGTGTTTGGTAAAAGTAAAATATTCTACTTATTTTAAAAGCAACAGACTCTATACAGCAGTTTTTAAAAGCAGCATGTAGGTTGCTTTAAAAGCTATTTTAATAAAAAGCATAGTTGGGTTTTTAATAAATATTTTTAATTGTTGTGTACCTTGATTTATCTTTTTTAGGTGACATTATTTAGCTTTCCACACACATTTTATCCTTTAGAGAAAAAAAAGTAAACGCTACCATTGTCACCACCATCATTACCTCCACCTCCACCATTGTTGCCACCACCACTACCACCACCGCCACCATTGTTACCACCATCGATGCCGCCATCGCCACCACCACAACCATGCATCACTACTGCAACTGCCATCACTACCATTACAACCACAACTGCCACTACCACCATTATTGCCGCAACCACCACCACTGTTGTTGTCACCCTCACTCCTACTATTATGTACATTTGTTATTGTATATAGTTATATTACTTTTCCATTAAATTTTACCAAACGCTTTTACGCTGCTTTTTATACTCACAACACTTTTAAAATTTAGTTAGCCAAACGCTCATCAGCTTTAATTTACAGCTGATTATTCTTAAAGCACAACAAAAGCAATTTTTAAAAAAGCATAGCAATCCCAAACTGACCCTTATTAGGTTCAAATTTCGAAAAATATATCATTTCGAAAAAATAGACTCAAAAATCAAATTGAAAGTAAGAACAAGGGGGCATTGCTAAAACTTTCCTTTTAACATAATATGTGAGAGGTCAACCAAATGCCGCTAGACCAATTAATCATGTGATCTTGTCAAAGCTAATCGAAAATAACCTATTTTCACCTACAAATCACACACCCCTAGTTAATTTCTATAATTTGATATTCTTTAATTCATTCGATAGGATGACCGTAAATTACGAGAGTGTGAGGAATAAAAAAGCGTGTGCGAATAGCACATCCCAAAAAAAGAAAAGGAAAACCCGCCTCTGAGAGTCTTCCCCACCTCAAAAGGATGGACGCCGTGGCCAAGCCACCACCGGTCCCCTTTTTGAATAAAAAAATAACCTTACCACTATCTTGGATCAAAAATGACCTCCCCTTCTACTGTTCTTTGCCATTGGTAATTGGAAAACTGCAACCAACATGAAACGACCTTTAACAAGGCAAATAGTAATACGAGACAAGAGGGACAAAAGTCTCAAGCAGACTGGATGCCTTTTTCACAATTGTTACAGATCAATAATTCCATGACTACAATTCACAGATAAATCTACACTGGACCCAGCATTGTTGAGTTTATTCTTCAACCAACCAAGCACATCAAGCAATTAGCTCAGTCCTTCACAAGAAGAATTGCACACTTTCTTGGCTCTTTGGCGCCCCGTTACCAACAACTAACGGATCAATGATTTTTTTCCACCCGTTAAAATCCAGACTGGAGCCAGCATCTGGCAATACAAATCCATTGACAAAGAAAGTAGGTGTTCCGTACACCCCTCTTGAAGTGCTAAACTGCATGACGAAAGACAATGAACATGAAAAAACCGAATATTGGGAAGACTACACGGTTCTAATGGTCAACCATATGACTCCGGCAAATGAGAGATTGTGTGTGCGGTAGCATTTTTCATAATGTGCCTAATTGTAACACCAATATAAGCATACTAGTTATTCGAAATTATATGTAACGTAGAAACGACATATACTGCATTACCTTGAAGGAAACCCTTGTTTTCAGATCCGTTTTCAGGTCACTGAAGCCGAATTCAAGGGCGCTGTGATAGGAGTTCCCAATCACTTCTGTGACAGAGTTCACTAGGTCATTTACAACAGCAACCCTGGAAATGTTGCGAGTTTGAGCATTATAATACCTCTCCTGTTTAATTTTTTGAGACAATTTCAGATCAACAGAAACTTCAATACCAACAACACATAGATATCTTGGCTAATAAGCTACCAAGCAACCAAATAGTAGCTTTCGTCTAAGAAATATGAGCTCGAAATCCAGCGAATTAGCCTAGCAGCTGAGTAATGGATCGAATAAGTGAATTCCCGAGAGCGAGTCAAGAAATTTCTACATAATGCAGATTGCAGATGGATAGATCGATAGTAGCAAATGAAAAACAAGTAGAAATCAGCCCCCAAATTTTTGGGATATGCTACGAAATTAACAACTAATGACGTGATCTTAACCTGATTCTTGAAGAACCACTCCAACAATGGGAATGTAGCAGAAGGTTTCAGCTGATTTACGATGTGCAGAGCCCGAGAAGTAACGAAAGCATTGTCATGGTAACTGCAGTTTCAAAAACAAGATTCTTTGAGTAATTTCATATCTACCGATCAGGGTTATCGGCTAAAATTTAACCTGGCGCCTCAAAGTCTGATTTTTGCAAAACTAAGACTGGTTTATTTGTCGGTTTAAGCTCTACGCTAACAAGACTTCCCACTTTGCGAGGAACGCAGACTTATCCTTACTTTGCAGACATGCTATTTGTCGGTTTCATTTTCATTAATTTAATCGCTTTGATTTTTCGTTGTACATAAGCTTCTGACTTCAAATTCATAACATGCAATCGATTTCTCAAAAACTACACGACTTCAATTGCTCATATTGGCCATTTACCATGGTGGAAAAGTGCTGAGCCTTGCACGATGATGTGAGTTCAAACCCCGTCGGCTAATCTAACCATTAATCTAACAACATCTATCGGTTGAAAAAAAAAAAAATTGTTCTTATCCAACTTCTGACAAACATATAGGCAGAGAGAGAGAGAGAGAGAGAGAGAGAGGGGAATCTGTTACTTACGGCAACGGTAAGAGGTGAATTGCCACAGTGACGCGAGGGGCGTAGTGCTCGACGACTTGTTTGAGGGGCGGCCAGGCATCCCTGCTGTCTGGGCAGACCGGGTCGAAGAAAGCTTCGATTAGGATCGAATCGGAGTCAACTAGGTGATGTCCGTACAAAAACCCATCGTATTTTGAAGGGGGCAAGCTCTGCGCGCATCCGCTCAAAACCAGCACGAACAACAACGTTAAAGCTGTTTCGAGTTTAAGGATTCTGTGCTTTGATTCCGCCATTCCTTTTTCTTCCGCTTTTGTCTCTCTGTCTCTTCGAGTGGACCGTATGAAGGCAAATCACCTGAGCTGCACCAAGACTGCATGTAACCGCCTGTGGAAATGTATCTTCCCTGGATTTTGACAAAATTAAATTAAATGGTTAATTTTGTATCTTCCCGGGTTTAAGGCTAAATTAGTTGGTAAATAATTGATTAAACTTTGGGCCTCCTGCTGGTGGAATCAGGCAGCCCAAGCGTCTGCGGTTGTATTAAACAGTCAAGTACGTAATTTTTTTTGAGAAGTTATTGTTTTTTTTTTTTTTTTTTAACAAACGATATTATCAACACTAAAAGGAAGGGGTAAACTTAGCCTCACAATGGACTAAAAATAATGTGGTTCAAATTCGCCTTTGGCAAGAATCGAACCTAAGACCTCTCAATTACAAGTAAAGAGAAATATCAGCAGACCGTAATACTGAGTGACAAGTTATTGTTTGGTACTCATTCTGTTTTTATTTTTGATATCAAAAATGTGATATTCTATAATCCATAGGCAGAGAAGTTCAAACTCGAATTAAAAAAAATGGTTTTACTTCTTTGGCCAACTAACTTAACATACATCCGCGCAAATCGTTTTACTAGAATTAACGGAACCGAAATTCGGGTTAAGAGATCGTACAAGAATTGTCAAGAAAAACTAAGAAACTATAACACTTTGCAATTATAGTATTAATTGTTGTGATGAGTTTTGCGACATCGTGGACAAGTAGGTAACTTGCAACGCATCAAATTTAGGAAGTTTGAATCGTGTTCACCATCTGGTCCACATTTCATGGGCCTATTCTCTCCTTACCAACAGGCAAACAACAGAATAAACGTTTCTTGTTCCTTGTGGGCCTTTTTAGTAGAGTGTTGAGTGTGCCAAAGGCCTATAAAGGGACACACTAACTTAAAGGTCTCGTTTGGTATGCAGAGTGAGATGAGTTATTTTCAATCAAATTGGACTTGTAGCCCAACCAATGTTTTGGCAAGAGAAATTAAAACATAGATTGGATTGGCTACAAACCCGAAATAGGAAAAATATGATGCGTTATGTTACCCAACCACACGCATGAGTTATGTAACTCATCCCTACCTAAGGCTCAATCTTATCCAGTTTACCAAAACGGACCAAAGAGTTTACGAAGACATAGGCATAATTTTGTTAGGCAAGACCAAAAATTTGAATTTGATTTAATTTTATAATTTTGTTAGGCCAGACCAAGAATTTCATTTGTATACAATTGATAGTGTTAAGGGTAATTCCAAGCAAATAAAGTTGTCGATTTTACGAGAGTCGATGAAAATATGTGTCGTAAACAGCTTTTAAGTAATTGATTTTTACTTAAAACATACTGCAAGAGGGAAAATAGTTGTACTGATGTGAATAATATGTGGATGGCCCACAAGCATGGTTTGTTACTATTTATGCACAGTATTTTCACTATTCATTTGTGGAAAATTTGTAAAGTGAATAAACTTCTGGCCTCCTGTTGGAATCAGGTAGCCCAAGTGTCTGCGGATAATGTGAAAGAAATTGTATTAAACAGTCAAATACGCACTTTTTTTGAGAAGTTATTGTTTTTTTTTTTTTGGACAAACGATACTATCAACACTAGGGGGAAAGGGTAAGCTTAGCCTCACAATGGGCTAATAACAATGTGATTCAAATTCGCATTTGGCGATAATTAAACCTAAGATCTCTCACTTATAAGTGAAGAAAAATATCAATAAATCGTAGTATTGAGTGACAAGTTATTGTTTGCTACTCATTCTGTTTTTGTTTTTGATATCAAAAATGTGATATTCTATAATCTATAGGCAGAGAAGTTCAAACTCGAATTAAAAAAAAAAAGGTTATACTTCTTTGGCCAACTAGCTTAACATACATCCACACAAAATGTTTTACTCGAATTAACGGAACCAAAATTCGGGTTAAGCGATCATATAAGAACTGTCAAGAAAAAATAAGAAACTATAACACTTTGCAATTATAGTATTAATTATTGTGATGAGTTTTGCGACATCGTGGACAAGTAGGGTGACTTGCAAGGCATCAAATTTAGGAAGTTTGAATCGTGTTCACCATCTGGTCCACATTTCATGGCCCTATTCTCTCCTTAATCCCAACAGGCAAACAACAGAATAAATGTTTCTTGTTCCTTGTGGGCCTTTTTAGTAGAGTGTTGAGTGTGCCAAAGGCCCATAAAGGGACACGCCGACTTAAAGGCTTCGTTTGGTATGCAGAGTGAGATGAGTTATTTTCAATTAAATTGGACTTGTAGCCCAACCAATGTTTTGGTAAGAGAAATTAAAACATAGACTGGATTGGCTACAAACCCGAAATAGAAAAAATATGATGCGTTATGTTACCCAACCACACGCATGAGTTATGTAACTCATCCTTACCTAAGGCTCAATCTTATCCAGTAACGGACCAAAGAGTTTACGAAGAGATACGCATAATTTTGTTAGGCTAGACCAAAAATTTGAGTTTGATTTAATTTTATAATAATCAATCTCCTTCATTAAATAAAAATTTCGAAGTTTGAAAAAGTTTTTCTATTTTTGCGTTCAATATGTTACACGCAAGAATTTCATTTATATACAATCGATAGTGTGAAGGGTAATTCTAAGCAAATAAAGTTGTCGATTTTACGAGAGTCGATGAAAATATGTATCGTAAACAGTTTTTAAGTAATTGATTTTTACTTAAAACATATTGCTAGAGGGAAAATAGTTGTACTGTTGTGAATAATATGTGGATAGCCCATATGAATGATTTGTTACTATTTATGCACTTTATTTTCACTATTCATTTGTGGAAAATTTGTAAAGTGAATAATATTCTCTTTGCTTATAAAATGAATGAGAGGTGAAGAAGGAGGAGAGATACGAATGAGGATAGAAGCAACATGGCTGAGAAGAGAGGAAGAATAGAGAGATAATATGGAGAGTTGTCTTTGTACTCCTATTATTCCAAATTATAATGAAAGCACCACTGCTGCCTCGAGGACGTACTTCAGTCACACTAATTGTAAAGGAACCTCGTAAATTTTGTGTTTTGTTTTATTTATTCCACTGCACACACTGTCGATTTTACAACATGTACCAAGATATTTCACTTTTAAGAAACTTGCGAAACACGAAACGCGTGAACAAAGGGGAAATAACAGATCCACGTCACCATTGCCTACTCACACTGTAAACCACCCAGCCAGTCACCAACTCACTTTCCCACCTCAGAATTCCATCTCCCCAAGCCATGCTATTTATTTCTCATTTTCCCATGACTTTTCGTTTTGTCTTGCTTGAAAAACCCTAATTTCCGCTATGTTTTGCTGCGCACAACAACATCACTCCTCACCTGACCAACTTCTCCACCGGCCACCATAAAAAACCTTAGTTGTACTGTACAATTTGAATTTTCCGGTTCACTGTAGGAGTTTGATTCCCGTAAAGAAAACATCGAAATGCTGCTTTCGGTGTTTTTGACGATGTTTCTGCCGTGCGTGGGGATAAGCGCGGTGTTCATAGTTTACGTATGTCTGTTATGGTACGCTACGAACGACCCGGCCGGCGACATTGGCCTGCCTGTCAAGCAGGTTTCCGAGAAGGGGTTGTCGGCGTCAGAACTCGACAAGTTGCCTAAAATAACGGGGAAAGAGGTGATGGCGGAGAGGAGGGAATGTGCGGTGTGTTTGGACGATATCGACGGAGAGCAACCGGCGCGGGTGGTTCCCGGCTGTAACCACGCCTTCCATCTGCTGTGCGCCGATACCTGGCTTTCGAAGCACTCGTTTTGCCCGGTTTGTCGAGCAAAAATTCACCCGGTTGATCAGTCTCTCGATGTTTCTGAGAATCCGTGCTGATTACGAAACAAAAGAAAAGTAAAAGCTAGCTGTAGTTTCATTTTGCTACTCTATTGACAGAAATTTTGTTATTAATTAGCCACTAGATTGTTATTGTTTATTGTCAAATTTATTATTTTCTGAGCTGTATCAATCTACGTATATATAATTTCCATTTTTTACGGACCTTTTCTTCTCTTTTTTTCTTTTCCTTGAAACAAAGCGATTCGAAAACAACTGCAATACTATAACAATGACATAAGAAATAGTGGTACAGTTGCAATAAATGTCGACATTAGATGTTAAATATGATGGACTATGCTAAACAGTGAAATTGGTTTCTGAAAGTGGCATCTAATGTCGGCATCTCTTGCAACTATAAACAGTAGATGTCTTCTCAGGACCAATTTCACTACCGTTTTCATAACAAAGGAATGTTTACTACAAGGAATAAAAATTGAAATTGGAATTAATAAACACGAGGAACTTTCCCTTACGTTTAGTTGATCTAATTGTTTATTCTTTCTTTTTTTCTACGTTCTCTGATTCCTTCATTTTTCCAACTTTTGTTAAGTGAACATGCTCAAAATTCAGAGGCAATGTTGAAAAAACTTTATTTCCAAAATTAAGGCTCTTCATGAATTATCTCTCATGTAACTTCATTATAGATTATTTGTCATCTCATATTTGAACGTTAATTCTCCTACTAATATTACATATTTATATTGGAAGCCAAACAAACTTTGATTCATGAGTTCCCACCTGAAAATTGAAATTCCTTCCACAAATGATTTCTTCATTCATTTCGTTGATTGCAAGCAATGAATCTAGTCCGTAATCAGTGTCCACAGAATTGGGCAGCTGGAACCATAAATCCTGCCACGTCGCGTGCTTTGTGTTTCCAATGCCAAGGGGTGAGTACTGAGTAGTAGAAAAGGAATTTTAAAGACATAATTCCTCCGCAATCATTGGATTTATGTCATCAAGATAGTAAATGATAGTGCTAGAAGACCAACTATTTTGGACTAAAATTTAACAAATCATATGATGTGATTGTTAACGATTGAATTGTTACTTAAGTGCTGATTAATTTGCTTATTTCTTATTGGTTATACATCACATGGTTTGAAAATTTAGTCTGCTTAGCATTAGTTGTAAACAAAGTCTCAAATGTTTTACCAAAAACAAATCTCCAAACTTTTGTATCAATTATCAGTCATTGGTTATTCAATGAGTGTTGCAGAGATGTATTTTGTTTGTCAAAAGTTAAAATATCGTGTCACAAGCGTACAAATGTGGAGTAGGTAATAAGTCAATACGCACTACAACGCAAATTCATCATAAAAAATGGATGTTAACGGACGTGGAGTAGAGCAACTATCTCTTTTTGTTTTCTTTGGAACCTCATCTTAGGAGACGTCCCTTCACATCACTAATACTTTTTGTCTACGTGTTGAGTTTAAATACCTCCACACACTTATGTTAATCCTGATAAGAGAGAAATTTTATTTGCTTGGAATCCCCCAGATATAAGTTGGTGGGAACTAAATGTTGATGGCTCTAGAATGATAAATTATAGACGAATTTGGGGTTGGTGGTGTATTAAGGGATCATCATGGAGATTGGTTGGGACGCTTTGCTGTCAATTTGGGGCAAGGGCAGGGATGTTGTTATGTTGGTAAAGTGAACTCCTATCGATAACCTTAATCTTGTCGACGCAATTGTACAAGGCTTTAGACTAATGATAAGACAATTGAGAAGATATGAGTTAGAAACATATTTATAGGGAGAAGAATTATGTAGTGGATTAGTTTTAATATGAATTTTGACGTTTATGTAGATGTTGTGGGAGATCAATATAAAAATAAGCTGCAATTAGGCCAAAAGGCAAACAAACCTAAGCAAAACACATGATGGCCCAATCAGCCTCTTGCTTGGACTGGATCAGCATTCATGGATGATACTTCTAGGGTATTTCGAATTCCCTTTGTTTCCTCTAATGTTTTAAGTTAGCTTTGAGTTGTATTCCCCACTTCCTTACAAAAAAAATAACTGCAGACATGAAGGCGGTTACTAAGAGCAACAATCCCTCTCAGGAAATTAAGGGACATTTCATTTGTTCATAAAAAATAAGATACTACTTATAATACAAATTGATTTCATGGTTAGAACTTCAAATTACTTCACCTTCCTATAACTTAGATTAATTTAAAGTAAAAAATATTTTGTATAAACGAAAGAAATTTCATTTTCAATTGGGCTCAAGATTTGAAAAAATTTGATCCAATCCGAAAAATTAACATGGGCATAGGTTAATGTCGGGGGCAATTCAACAAAAATCCATTTTAGCCCAAAACATTAATTTTGAACTGTACAACCTAAAGGCCAATGTAACATGAAAGTTAGATACCCAAGAATCCAACCTAGTTCGCAAGTGAAACACAACTATATTGTGCTCCAAAATTCTGGCAGAGCAGGATTCTTTTCTCATCTAATTTCTCTCCTTTCGCTTTTGTTTTATTTAAATGGTTACTATTAAGTTACGTCAACATCTTGTTTTGAACTTTTTGTATAGAGAAAATGACAAAAAAAAAAAAAAGTGTGAGAGGAGCTAAGGGAAGAGGATGATAATAGGAAAAGAGAGATTCTTACTCCAATTCCAACGAATAATTGCACATAGTGCCTTGCCAACTCGCCGTTGGGCCTAATAACTTTGATTTTTTTTTTTCAATAATTAAGTTTATTTTTTCATAGAGAAAGGAACAGAAAAAAGTTTGAGAGCTTCGAATTCGAATGAAGAAGTTTAAAAGGGCGTTTCATTTCCATAATGCTACTAGCCTCTTCATAAAGTCAGTGTGGGAATATATTTATATTAATGTGTTAGATGTCAGTTTTATTATTATTAAAAAAAAAAAAAAAAAAGAAGAAAGAGAACCCAATCAAAAACCTACTATGTTGTTTAAACAAAGATTAAGAAGATAACCAAACTTAGGCACTTGTCATCAGCTAACGACGACCCACGTGAGTCAACCTTGGGTGGTGGGCCCCCGCCCGAACAACTTTACCCAAAGACTCTAAATCAGGCGTGCAGCTGAAACGTTCCACGTGTGTCTTCCTCATTCGGCCACGACCCAACACTGGCTGTCTTGCAGTTCACGATCTCTGCTTGGGACGACGATCACTTTTGGCTTTTTCTTGCTTGGACGATGCAACCAGGAAGGACAGGTGGCCTCGATGTTCGGCAGATCGCTTCCGGTGGGACCACGTTAGATTCTAAATCGTTTTCGGTTAGGGTTACTGAGGCAAAACCCTATAGCTTGATTATGTAGAGCTCCACGTTACCCTAAGTTGTTTCGTTTGATGGTTTCTAAAAACATAACTGGTTCACTCAAGTTTGGCTGGCCTAGTAGGAGAATGACTTGTATAAAAGCGAAAAAAATTTCGCGATTATTTATATGCTCACGAGATGTGTTATGTTAGAAGAGAGAAATACTTGAATAGAGAGAACTAATCACGAGAAGATAATAATCATAATGTACTCAGTAGCAAAGTAAAAATTTGATTTCAATGAGGCTAGAATAAAAAAATAAAAAAAAAAAATTTGCTTACATGACCTTGATTTATAGTTGAAGAAAATTGAAATTTAACCAAAAATTCATTGACAAAATAAGTAGTCAAAAGTTTTTTTCGAATTGAATATCATTTAGTGATTAAAATATATCAAGAAACCAACAAAATATATAAACAATAAATGTGTTGAAATGTCTCAAATCAACCATATCAATGACAAAATAATAGTTTAAATACCCTAATCTTGCTTCAATTAATACTAAGATATTTTATGATAAAACCATATCCCTAATGGATTGTGAATATGATAGTTACCAAATTAAAAACAGTATCAGTGTTATTAAAAGTGGCCATTTAGCCAGTTTATCTAATAATTCTACAAAACAGTTCAATTATTTGAACTATTCATATTACTAAACAGTCTCTATTTCGAATAATTTACCATAAAACTAAGAACTCCTTATAAAATTTATAAAATAAAAATACGTCAGTCCCAAGAGATTTGCAAGGATTATTCTAAAAAAAATAATGCAGCTGATTCGTCAAGGGGCTCACATTTTCCTGGAAAAAGCATGAATATAAAAGTTGATTAAAGAGAATGGAAATAAGTAGCGACGGACATGTGTCCCTCTGTTGGTTTGGCTTTCATAAATCAAAACCATCAATTCAAAAGTCCTTTATGACTACACGGACCTTGCCTCCTTGGCAATGATAATTAGAATTCATAGCTATCCACCATCCAATGACCTGGACATGTGTCACCTTCTGGTTGGTTAGGGTTGACCTTTCACAGTAAGGACAGACTAAAAGTTGGGTTTTTTTTGGGTACAAACGAGGTGGTGATTGGAAAAGCAGCAGTTTTGCAAAAAGCAATTGAGAAGTAGGAAATCAGAGTCTCTAGGGTTGGGGTGGGGGCAGATTTTCGGATGTATGTATGATGGGGTGGGGGGCTTAATTAGTATTGGATGTAATGACGTGGTGGAATAAGGTTCTTTGGAACGGAATATAAGGAGTTGGAAGGATAGTAGTGGAGGCTCTACTGTTTTTGATTGATTTTTCTTGAGCCCCTACGGCGCTCTCTCTCTCTTCCGTCTTCAATCCATATTGTGCCGGTGGCAAAGAAAGAGATCTATATGAAGGAGATGAACGTGAAGATCAGTCATGGTTCTGAAGCTGCAGTAAGCAACGGTGGTGGTGGTGGGTATGGTGGCGCTGCTGTCTCGAGCTCAAGAGTTTCATCTCTCCTGGCCTCCAAAGATCGTGACTACCTTCTTTCTCCGACTGGAAACCAGGTATCTCTCTTTCAGTAAATTAAGGTTTTTTTTCCTTTTAATTTTGTTCCTTCCGAAGGAGAAGAAAAGTCTAACTGAAATTTAGAGAAAAACACCTGACTGAAAACAGTTTTCTCTTATGGATAAAAATCCAAAGATATACGGAACATGAAACGAATATTTATGTCGGAATTTTTATGCAAACCGATTTAATAATTCTGAGATGGATCTGAGATATGTACTATCTCTGCAAAACATAAAATATGACTAAAAACATAGCTGCATATCTTCCCGTTAATCCTTGAACAAGACGAAGATTTATAATCATAGATTTAATGGAGGTCCATATGTGTGTGTGTGTGTGTGTATTTCCCCACCTCCCCCCCCCCCCCCTCTCTCTTCTTTTCCCACTAAAGAAACCAAATCCCTTGTAGAAAAATCTCCGTCCCCCAACACACGAAGACGATAGTAGATCAACGTACTCTTGTGCGACTCAAGCCTACGGAGGCCTCTGTATTTATATTGTTAAACAAACGAGTACAAAACTAATTTAACAAGACGATAATAAATGATCGTGTTGTTCTTGGGGATATTTGCGAGTCTCTTGATCGAGGATTAAAAAATGTCAAGATTCAACAAGATAAGAACGATCGAGTTTTGAATGTTACAATTGTAAATTTGTGCGCTTGCACTTATAATAAATTTTCTTATTTAGTTGAGCTGAATTTTAGATGTATTGTGAGTCTATGAGTTATGCATAATATATATATATATATATATATATATATATATATATATATAGACACGTACGCGTACGCGTACGCGGAGTCTTGGTTTATTAAGTATTTCATGCAAGAGTGCGTAAATTACGTAAAGCTTTTCTCACAATTCATGCATGCTATGCTGATGATCTATAGAACAAAGAAAAGGGAAATTTACAGTACGTATTTGACAAATTTTATCAAAATATGTAAATCTTCTAAACACCATCTTAGACAATCTCTAAAGGAGTTAGTAAACTTTTCTTAAAGTGTTTTTTGTTAACCCATTTGACAGTCTGCTACTTTAAAAATTTGTCACTCCAACCGAATTTTCAACTAACTCTTCAAATTTCATCCTTCAGTTTAAAATATAAATATGTTTTTTTTTTTTGTCAAAGAAAATATAAATATGTTAACTTTATCTTGTCCTCTAAGCCAAAATTTTAGTTTCAAAATCTTTACTAAATAATATTTTAGCAAAATATATAGTGGGACTTAATTTGCTCACTTGAAGAAATGCAAGGTCAATTGCTAATTCTTCAATTTGCTAAGGGTTACTTCCTTTGTTTGAGATGCGTTTTTCTTGCGTGACAACAAATTTAACTAGCTATTCAATTGCTACATCTTTTGGAGATGCTTCTAGGAGCAATATTCAGAGTGATTATATTGTCATTTTATGAATTATTATAAATGATTATAAGGTTTTTTTTAGATATAGGCCCTTTAATTATGAGGTTCGAGGTCATCCACCCTCCTTTATGATGATCAAACATTTGAGTACGCGAAAATTCGTTTTAAATTAATCAATTTAATTGTTGACGACCTCTCCAAAAAAAAAGTGAAGCCTCTCTTAGCTCAACAACATATTATGTGCTTAATGATCTGTACATTTTTAAAGTAATTTCATTACCAAAGAAGATTAACCTCAAACTTAATTATTGAAAAATATTATTAGTACTTTAAAAATCTCATTCTACATTTTTCATAAGTATATATATATTTTTTAATATAAAAAACTTAAAATATAAAATAAAAATTTTAAAACGTTAATAACAATTTTGTAATTCTCATCGATCACTCTATCTATCTCACCATTCAAGTAACTTATTATTTTCAGTAATTTATTCTGTGAGTGTGGAAGATTGAAATTTACCAAACCAAAGCAGAAACGCAGCAAATTTTGACGCTATTTGTCACGAGATGAACATGATAAAGTGGTGTCACAGTCAAAGATGGACAACCACGCATTGTTGATTGTCTAAATCGACATGTGGCACCCTAATGTCAATTCCGTCCCACATCAATATTACTGGGGCAACACGCGGTCCAATCACGTCCGTCCACCTGCATGTTTATTTGGTACAACATCCGCTTTCGAGCTTAACTTAGATTCTTTCCTCTGGGTGAAAACCGGCAAATTTCAGCTCATTGATCGATGTATCCCTCTTGTCGGAATTGTTCAGGCGGTCCACACTTCCAGGTGCTTCTGGTCCATGCACCCAGTACTTTGGATAAGTATTTGGCGTGGAATAATGAAAATAATACAGGTCGACATACATGTTTTTTGAATGAAAGGGTCTTGGTCAATATCATTATTCTTTATAATATTGCGCCCTAAACCTTACGATATCAAAAAATTATATTTTTATATTGTATTATCATTTGTATCATTTTTTAATAGAAATAGAATCCACATGTGTTAGTGGGGTATACTTCTATTAGAGAAAATGTATAAATAAATAGTAAGTATACTATTATTCTTACATTATTTTGTTCTGTTAAGGTATTTTAAGGGCCCCGTCTTTACTATGTTAATTATGTACTCTATAGTTGATTCCAAATAAGTTAGTGTACGTTAAAGAAAAGTTAATCGAGGAAATAATTTTAATTAGATCATTTTTAAAGGGGAGGCTAAATTTTACGTAGAATGCCATGTAATTTTTTTATAGTTGATTCCAAAGAATATAGTGTACATTAAAGAAAAGTTAAGTAAATAATTTTAATTAAAACATCTTGAAAGTAGATGCTAAATCTTACGAAGGATGCCACATAATTTTTTTCTAACACTTTGGGCGGTATGTCAATATAACGCAAATTGACATAGAGATTGTGTGAGATCAATTTTGACATATAAAAATTTAATGTGTTTTTACTTTTTAAATGTTTTGTTTTGTGAGTCCTAGTAACGCACTAATTCTATAAATATTATTTAAAGGAATACAAAGAAATAGGTAAGTTGGAGTAAAAGGACATTAGGCATCCACATTTAACATTTTAATATATTGCAGGTGACAGTTTCTGATCTTAATGAGAAGATAATAGGCATCTACTTCTCAGCCAATTGGTACCCGCCATGCTGGAACTTCAACCAAGTCCTGGTTGGCATCTACGAGCAGCTGAAGAGCAGTGGGTCCAACTTTGAGGTTGTGTACGTGTCATCTGACGAAGACTCTGAAGCCTTTAACAAATACCATGCATGCATGCCGTGGCTGGCGATTCCTTTCTCTGACTTGGACACCAAGAAAGCCTTGAACCGTAAGTTTGATGTGGAAAGTATTCCCAGCTTGGTTATTTTGCAACCTAATGATAACAAGGAAGAGGCGTTGAATGATGGAGTTGAAATTATCTACCGTTACGGGGTCGATGCCTTCCCTTTTACAAAACAAAGGTTGGAGGAATTGCAAGATGAGGAGAAGGCGAGGCATGAGAACCAAACTCTGACCAATTTACTAACAAACCATGATAGAGATTATCTTTTGGGTCACCCCACGCCTAAACAGGTAAAATTTTGTCTATACTTTCGAGCATGCCTTATCCAAGTACATATAATCTTGCTATGAAATTTTTAATGTTGTTAATACTGTGTCGATATTGATATTATTTTCTCAAAACGTACTGACATGCTATTAGATATTTTAGACAATGTCATAGATGATGCACAAAGAACTCTTGCAGTATAACATATATGCATGAGATATTATATTCATACACTCCAAATTATTTCTCCCGCACCTTTTTAAATTTTTAATATTTTCTACACACCACTAACCTTATAGGAAAAAAAAAAAAAAAAAAAAAAAAAAAAAAAGAGGTATGAGAGAAGTAATTTGGGGTGTCTGAATATAATCTCCTATTTTATATCTCTTGTGCACACAGGTGTCAGTTGCTTCATTGAGAGGCAAAACCATTGGACTCTACTTCTCAGCTCAATGGTGTCGTCCGTGCGTTAATTTCACTCCAAGGTTGATCTCCATCTACGACATGATTAAGGAGAAAGTGCTAGTGGATGATCACGACGGAGAAGACTTCGAGATAGTATTTGTGTCGAGTGATCGTGACCAAACTTCGTTCGACTCATACTTCAACACCATGCCATGGCTAGCGTTACCCTTTGGGGATCCAAACATAAAAGAACTTGTCAAGCATTTTGACGTCAAAGGTATCCCTCGTTTGGTAATTTTAGGGCCTGATGGTAAAACTGTGACCCAGCAGGGCAGAAATCTTATAAACTTATACAAAGAAAATGCGTATCCCTTTACGGATGCCAAAGTGGAGTTGCTGGAGAAGAAAATGGATGAAGAGGCTAAGAACCTCCCTCGGTCGGTGTACCACGGAGGACATCGACACGAGCTGAATTTGGTGTCGGAGGGCAACGGAGGAGGGCCCTTCATATGTTGTGATTGTGATGAACAAGGATGTGGTTGGGCTTACCAGTGTCTTGAATGTGGATATGAGGTGCACCCCAAGTGTGTGACTGCTACCACTCCCAATAGCAATACCAACACCAATAGGTGATTTATTGAAGCTTATTAATATTACTAAATTACTAATTAAACTTGTGCTGTATTATATAATTTGTGATCTCGTTTTTTAACTAAGGTTTGGGATTGAGAATAATTAATTCCCTATTTAATCATTTTGTATGTAACATTGTTCTAATTTTTAAAGTAATTTGGACTTCATTATCAGTTATTATCGATCCTTATGATCCATTGGCTTCTAATCCATACGATTTTTTTTTTTTCTTTTTCCATTTTGTTGTTATTACGGGGAAGGGGAGGGGAAGGGGAGGATTCGAAAATTTAAAACCCGAGATACGTGGCTGGAAACCCAACATCCTATTCACTAGAATATTGGATCACATGTAGTCTAATCCTTATGATTCATTGTCATTGTTCACCGTGGTGTTAGTTCTGGCAATTATTTCCTGGCATGCTTGTAAGTTTCAATTATTCCGTGGCATGCTTTCCATTACAGAAATAAAGCAGCTGATGAATGCCGTCGGTACTCGAAATTTTTTATCTTTGTGCTTGAATTTCACTTGATATTAATAATATCTAGTTTACATTAATTTGTTCTTCTTTTCTGGTTAGGCCGACGTTGATAAGAACGGGACTCTAGATTACAATGAATTTATAACTGCCACCATGCATCGCCATAAACTGGAGAGGGACGAACATTTGTACAAGGCTTTCCAGTTCTTCGACAAGGATAATAGCGGGTTAGTTTAATCCAGAGTTTTCGATAATTAAGTTCTACTGAATCATCATTGACTGGTTTAAGCTGTTCAGGTTTATCACCAGAGATGAGCTGAGACAAGCAATGATTGAATATGGTATGGGGGACGACGCTACTATTGACGAAATCATGAATGATGTGGAAACAGATGAAGTAATCATCTACACACAAATACGTATTATATGTACGCACATTTATATATTTGCGCGTGTATGTATATGTATATGTATGTATATTGCCGTTGTGTTTCTCCAGATGACTGAAGTCTTAAATTTTTTGTAGGATGGAAGAATCAATTACGAGGAGTTTGAGGAGATGATGAGGGTTTGAGTGTTAGAATCTAGAATTGCATGAAGTTTATATTTTGAAGAGGGAAAATGTTACACGGAAGAGGAAAGGATTTTTTTTTGGAATGTGCAGAGCTCTCTGCACAGAGAGCAGTAGCACAGATATTATAGAGAAAATATCAGAACAACACTTTTTGTTACAAGCTATCTGAGCCCTTAATCTATAAAACAGAAATCTAAGCCAACACTTGTCCTATAAGACTAAGTAATAACTTAACAGTTGATCCCTTCCTTCTCAGCCATTAGATCGAAAACAACTTTCATTTGATTCCAACACTCCCCATCAAATGAACTTTGGTTTTGATCCCAAGCATCTCTCTGAGATAAACAAATCTGTCTTTAGGTAGAGCTTTGGTGAAGATGTCTGCCATTTGATCCTGAGACTTGCAGTAGATCAGTTCAATGGTACTCTCTTGCAATGCTTCCCTTATGAAATGAAACTTTCTTTTGATATGTTTGGTTTTCTGGTGAAAAATAGGATTCTTAGTCATAGCTATTGCTGATGTGTTGTCACACATAAGTGGTGTAGCATCCACTTGCATTTCACCAAAATCCTTTAACACAAACCTCAACCATATAGCTTGAGAGGTAGCCATTGCAGCACTCACATACTCTGCCTCAGCCGTAGACAGTGCAACACTTTGTTGCTTGACAGAAGCCCAAGAAAATATTCCAGAACCAAACGAAAATGCATATCCTGAGGTACTTCTCATGTCATCTTCACTGCCTCCCCAATCACTGTCACAGAAGCCAACTAGAATTGCTTCTTTTCCCTTCTCATACTTGATCCCATAGTCTAAGGTCCCTGAGATATACCTTAGTACTCTCTTAGCAGTTCCCATATGAATTCTTGTGGGATTATGCATGAACCTTGATAAGAGACTGGCTGCATACATAATGTCAGGCCTTGTTGCAGTCAAGTAAAGTAGGCTCCTAACGATTTTCCTATAGAGATTTTCATCAGCAGATTCAGAACCATCCACTTTGCAAAGCTTCTCATTTGTGATCAATGGTGTTCCCACAGATTTGCATCCTTCCAGATTGAATCTTTTAAGCAGAGATTGTGCATACTTCTCTTGATGTATGAAGATTCCAGTAACATCTTGAATTACTCCAATTCCCAAGAAGTGATGCAGCAATCCAAGATCAGTCATCTCATATTGCCTCATCATATCTTTCCTGAATTCTTCAATCATTTCTTCACAGTTTCCAGTAAACACCACATCATCAACATATATGGACACAATAAGTATCTCAGTTTTCTCACCAGTTTTTGTGTACAATGTAGCTTCACTAGGACTTTTGTTAAATCCACATCTGCTGAAATAGGAGTCTATCTCACTGTACCAAGCCCTGGGGGCTTGTTTGAGTCCATACAGTGCTTTGTTTAACTTATACACTCTCTCTTCTTCATTTGGGACTTCAAAGCCTTGTGGTTGATCCACGTATACTTCTTCCTCCAGTGTGCCATTTAGAAAGGCTGATTTAACATCTAATTGATGAAGTTTCCATCCCTTTTGAGCAGCAAGAGCAACCAAAGTTCTGATAGTGTCTAACCTTGCTACAGGGGCAAAGGTTTCATTGAAATCGATCCCTGGTTGTTGTGAGTAGCCTTTGGCTACCAGTCTTGCCTTATTCTTCATTATAGATCCATCCAGATTTAGCTTGGTCTTGTAGATCCATTTCACACCTATCACAGGTTTATCACTTGGTCTGTTCACTAATTGCCAGGTAGAGTTTTTTTCAATCATGGTGATTTCTTCACTCATAGCTTTCTGCCAAGATTGATCCATTTCTGCTTCTTCAAAACTCTCTGGTTCAGCAATACAGTAGTTGCAGACTGCATAGATCTCATCTAGACTCCTTAATTTTAATGGAGTTGTTCCTGGGGAGGAACCCTGCAAATCTTGTCCTTCTGTATTTGAAGTAGAGGACTGAGATCCTTGTGATGGTGTAGAGAAGTCGTTTTGACTTTCACCTGTTATAACAGGTTCATTTTCAGGTTGCACAGTTGCTTGTGTTCTTTCCATTGGTAATGGAAATGAGATGGTGTCAATGTTATTGGTTTCCCAATTCCATGCTTCATTTTCTTTGAACACCACATCTCTTGAGATTATAACCTTATGTGTCTCAAGGTTGTAGAGTCTATAGCCCTTTTCACAGCTTCCATAGCCTACAAGGACACACTTGATACTGTTGACTTCAAGTTTGTGTCTTAATTGAGATGGTATCTGTGCATAGCAGATTGATCCAAACACCTTCAAGTGCTTTACATTTGGTTTTCTGCCACTAAATGCCTCAAATGGTGTTTTCCTTTCGAGTGCTTTAGTTGGACACCTGTTTAGAAGATACACAGAAGCATTGACTGCCTCACCCCAGAAGAAAAGTGGCATTTTCTTATCATGCAGCATCGACTTGGTCATTTCAACCACAGTCCTATTCTTCCTCTCAGCTACACCATTCTGCTGTGGTGTGTAAGCCACTGTCAGTTGCTTCTGCAATCCTGCCCCTTCACAGAATTCCTGGAACTCAATGGAAGTGAACTCACCACCTCTGTCACTTCTCAGTCTTTTGATCTTCAGACCACACTGAAGTTCAACCATTACTTTGAACTTTTTGAAAATAGTAAAAACCTCACTCTTGTTTCTCATGAAGTAAACCCAAACCATCCTGGTGCAGTCATCAATAAATAACAGAAAGTATCTGTTCCCACTGAGTGTAGGTGTCTTCATAGGACCACACACATCTGTGTGAATAAGTTCTAGAGGTTGGCTAGCTCTCCATGCATTTCCAGTTTCGAAGGAGTCCCTGTGATGCTTCCCCAGTATACAACCTTCACAAGGTTCTTTTGTTTCCTGTAGCTCAGGTAGTCCAGTCACCATTTGTAATCTCTCCAAGTTCTTCAAACTGTGAAAGTTGAGATGTCCATACCTCTTGTGCCATAACCATGAATTCTCTGCCACACTTGCTTTTAAAGCAACTGAGTTAGTGTAGTCTAGCATAAGTGGAAAGCTTTTGTTTTCTGTCATGCCAACTTGTGTTACCAGATTTTGGAGACTTCTGTCATCAAAGATCTCCACCATGTCATCCCCAAAGAGTAAGAAGTAACCATGTGCAATCATTTGTCCCACACTAAGGAGATTTTCATCAAGGCCAGGTACTAGTATCACATCCTTGATGAATCTTCTTCCACCCTTTGTCTCTAGAACAAGAGTTCCCTGTCCAGTAGCATCCACAAGTTGACCATTTCCCATTTTAACTCTGCAACTGAAACTTCTGTCAATGTTGACCAATAGTGATTCATATGCAGTCATGTGATTACTGCATCCACTGTCAATGTACCAGATACCTCTTTTATTTTCAGTTCTTGCAACACTACACGCATAGAAAACATTTACTTCCTCTTCTTCTGCTCTATGTGCATAGTTGACAGCTTGGTTCCTTCTTGGATTACAGTCTTTTGCCAGATGACCAAATCTCTCACACTTAGTGCATTTGGGCTTTCCCTTATACCAGCAGACACCATAGTGTAGTTTGTCACATATTTTGCACTTGGTTTTGGTGGATTCACTGCTAGATTCTGATCTTGGTTGTGGAGTGAACTTGTTATCCCATTTTTTTCCTTTTCCTTTCCAGAATTTCTTTTGATTTGAGTTGTTCCCCTGAGCCTTGTAGCTGCTATCTCTGTCAGTCACACTTAGGCTAGAAAAAGCTTTCTCAGCTAAGCTTTCAGAGTGCATGTTTAACCTCTGCTCATATCCTTTCAGTGTACCAATCACTTCCTGAACCTCAATGGAATCAAGGTCCCTAGTTTCTTCTATAATGGATGCAATGGAATCATAAGATTTGGGCAGGCTTATAAGTATCTTTTGCACTAATCTTTGGTTTGATAGTTCATCACCAAGAGTTTTCATTTGATTCACTATATCAGTCATCCTAGTTAAGTACACAGATAGAGATTCGCCATCATTCATTCTAGTATACTCAAAATCTCTCCTTAAACATTGTAGTTTGACAGATCTAACCTTTTTGTCACCACGAAACTCTTGTTGAAGAACATCCCATGCAGCCTTGGATGATTCAAAGTTTGAGATTCGAGGAAATATTTCGTCAGAAACTGCCCCTTGAATGATACCAAGAGCTTTTGCATCTCTGGTTTCATTAATCTTCATTGAGCTCTTGACTGACCGTTGATCTTCATCACTGGAATCATCTCCAGACTCTGCATTTTCGATACCCTTGTCCACCAAGTTCCAAAGATCATATGATTTAAATATGGTCTTCATCTTGATAGACCAGAAATCGTAGTTGGACCCGTTGAAGATAGGAGCCCTTAGGTCTCCTCCACTGCTCGAAGTAGCCATGTGAGACTTATAAGAGCAGTAAGGTTTTCAAAAATCTGGAATTGAGTTTCCCTCCTTTTTTCAGTAGTACGTAGCACACAAAACGCCCAGTTCTGAATTCTTGATCAGAACCTGAGCTCTGATACCATGTTAGAATCTAGAATTGCATGAAGTTTATATTTTGAAGAGGGAAAATGTTACACGGAAGAGGAAAGGATTTTTTTTTGGAATGTGCAGAGCTCTCTGCACAGAGAGCAGTAGCACAGATATTATAGAGAAAATATCAGAACAACACTTTTTGTTACAAGCTATCTGAGCCCTTAATCTATAAAACAGAAATCTAAGCCAACACTTGTCCTATAAGACTAAGTAATAACTTAACAGTTGATCCCTTCCTTCTCAGCCATTAGATCGAAAACAACTTTCATTTGATTCCAACATTGAGGCCGTCACGATTATGATGATAAACTCAAAGCTTTGCTTGACCGCCTCTGTAAAGTAAACCAATGTCCATAAACAAACTCAAGCTGTTATATATCATACGGCCATGTATCATACGCACTACCTGGCCAAATTAATAACAAGAATATACAAATTACATGCTTTAAATATAAAGATGTTGGGCTAAATTGGCTTTGAAGCTTTCCATATTATGAAATTTATGGAATGGAAATAAACAATACTTATTATAAACTTTTAGTCAAAAATAAAATTTGACGAACATTAGGCACTAAATTGTTGTGTCAACTGGCTGCAAAACTTGGGGACTCACTTTCGAAAAACGACAAAATATTTTCTTTTGTTTTCAAATTACTACCTTAGTTATTAAATTATATATACTAAAACTTAGTTTCTTAATACTGTTCATTAACAGTGAAATGGTGAAATTGCCCTTAAAAATTTTCCTTTTGTTCGTTATCTTTCCTGCTTTCCACAGTTAGAGGACGGTTGTGCCCTTCACTTCCACGCGTCTCTGATTGCCACTTTTTGCTTTCTCTTCATTTTTCAGTTCCTTTTGATTGCTTTTAATCGAATTTTTACCCCATTGCGTTTGGTTTTCTTCTTTTCCACCCGTCTGCTCTCTCTTCCTCTCTCTTCTAGATTTAGTTTTTTTCCCCTATTGTCTGCTCTCTCTCTCTCTCTCTCTCTCTCTCTCTCTCTCTCTCTCTCTCTCTCTCTCTCTCTCTCTCTCTCCCTCCCAGATTTAGCTTTTTTCCCTGTTTTGTATCTTTTGGCTGATTTTGTGAGTTATTTGGTTTTCTTGCCACATGGGATTTCAATTTTTTTTTTCGTCGTTTATGTGTGGTTGTCTGATGTGTTTTGATTTTTGATTTCAGAAAAAGTTAAGGATACGATCAAACGTTTATTAATGAGTTTCTATTTTTTTGATTGTGTGTGATTTAATTTTTTTCAAGCTTTGGGTGTACTTTTTTGATCTGCTTTGATTTTTAGTTGCAGCAAGAGTTGTTGCTCGAATTTCCAGTTTTTCTCTGCGGCTTTGCAAGCTCTTTATCATCAAGGTATATAATTTTTTTTCTTTTCCCTTAATCTTTTGTTGGATGGAGTGGTTTTTTTTTTAGTTTTTTTGTTTTTTTTCGGAGGGACTATTTTTTGTTTGCATATGAGTTTTTTGTGGTTTTTGTTTGGATATTTAAGTTTTGGCCATTTGCAAATAGTTTTTCTCAATAAATAATGAAAAATGGGTCTCTGCTTTTTGTGAAAAAGGGAAATGGTGTGTTGTGAGTGATTGAATAATATTTACATTGCAATTAATAAAGTTAGCTTTAATTGTGGTAAAATCAATTGTAAATTATCCAAAATGACAATATGATTGGAAACGCTATGGCGACGACAACCAGCAATCTTTGATGCTGTGAAGATAACAATTTTAGTCTTTTTGGATTGAGAATGCCAAACTAATAAATTTATTGAAAAATTACAAGATCTTAAAAATATGCAGATTTGAAAATGTGTAAAATTGTATACATTTTTTTTTAAAAGAAAAGCAAAACAACAAATATATATATATATATATTTTTTTTTAAAATAGTTTTCAGCATCGAATTTTGATTTGTTTATTTGCAGAGGAAGGAGAATGTGACCCGATTAGCTATAAACTTGCAGTAAACTTTTATATTTGTTTAGGGTTATGAGAATTCTTACAAAAAGAAAACAACTCAGATTATAATTTTCCGTTTAAAACTGTTTTTAAAGCAACTGATTGTAAGACAAACAAAATGTTACAAAAAAAATATTAAAAAAAATGTGATAAAGCAACTGATGGTAAGGCGAAAAAAAAAAAAAATCTTGAAAAATGTGAGTTAAACCCTGTGTGGCACGACAAGTCTTTCGTAAGGCAAAAAAAAAAAAAAAAAAAAAAAAAAAAGAGTTAAACCCGGCGTGGCACGATAAGTCTTTCTTTTAGTCCAGAAAGAGATAAAATAATATAAAAAAAAACGGTGGCAGGACAAAAAAAAAAAATTTAAAAAATTTGATAAAGCAATGTATGTTTGTAGGCTCTTGTCCTTTCTTTCTCTTTTCTTTCCTGTACGTTTGCTGTCTTATTTTCTTTTCTTTTTGCTTTTGGCTTCTGCTTTTTCTGCTCTTTTTATTTCATTTGTAGCTTTTTTTTTTTTTTTTTTTTTTTTCTCTGATGATCAATACTGTTTTTTCTGCAGTGACTGCTTCAATAAAAAAACTTTTGCTCATGTGTTAAAAGGATGTTGGCATGTGTTATCCAAAACAAATAAGTATTGATTTCACATTTTTTTGTGTGTAAATAGTTGATCCTTACATGAATTCCTCATTCTTGTTGTGTATATAAACAATGAGCTCTTTATGATCATTGTCAAGGGGGAATACTAGGTTAACCATTTTTGTATACTAATGATAAGGCATTTGATAATGTCTTTTTCTGTAAATTATATAAACTTAGACATCATTGTAAAAATATTTGTTCCATTTTCTGTTTAGTATTTATAACACTCTTTGCATATTTACATGTTAAAAGTATAATCTATAGTCATATTTTCGCTCCCGCAACAACGTGCGGATAAAATTTACTAGTTCTTAACTAAAACTCTTTTTGTGTCTAACTATTTAGGCCTCCGTTACCTATCAACGTACCATGTGGAAGCTAAGATTTCGGTTAGACGAAAACTTATGTAAATGTTAGGTAGTAATGTGAAAAAAAATGAAACATTGTGCGTTTCTTTTTACAGCGGGCTCGAACCTCAGGGGGCCGTTATGTAATTAGATCGCATGATTAAGATAAAGATTACACGACATGTCGCTCAAACGTGGACATATTTTGTTCTGGTCTGCTGGTATTCTGGTTGGCACTTTTGGAGGGAACTGGTTACAGAGGAAACCATGACAAGGCAACCTCTGAATCTGCTAGAAAATCTGCACAAAACACTGCTCCAATTTCTAAACCCCTTCACAGCTTCCTCATCGCAGGTGCGTCAAGCCCGCGCACAAATCCTCAAAACCGGCCTCTCCAACGACACCAATCTCACCACCAAGCTCCTCTCTCTTTACGCCAACAATTTGGGAATGGGGGTTCAGATTCACTGCTCCGTGATCAAGCAGGTACTTGTGTCAGACAAATGTGTCGTAAGCGCGCTTATTGATATGTATGGGAAGTGTGCCTGCACACTTGAGATGTCACGGTTTTTCGATGAAATGGATCAAACGGATGTTGGTGCTTGCAATGTTTTAGTCACAGGGCTTTCGCGAAATGGTCTTGTTGACAACGCACTGGAGATATTCCGGTGGTTCAAGGGCCAAGGAATGGAACCGAATATTGTCTTGGACCTCGATAATTGCTAGTTGTTCTCAGAATGGGAAGGATATGGAGGCTTTGGAGCTATTCAGAGAGATGCAGATTGAGGGTGTGAAACCAAACTTTGTGACCATCCCTTGCTTCCAGCGTGCGGCAACATTGCAGCCTTGATGCACGGGAAGGCAACCCACTGTTTTTCTCTCAGGAGGGGGATCTCTAACAATGTGTATGTGGGTAGCGAGTTGATTGATATGTACGCGAAATGCGGAAAAATCCACTTGTCTCGGCTTTGTTTTGATAAAATGCACACCAGAAAATGGTCAGAAGCCCGATTTCATCAGCTTTACCTGCATACCGTCCGCATGCAACCAGAACGGTTTAACGGAAGAAGGATGGAATTATTTTAACAGTATGTCAAAGGAGCATTGTCTAAAAGAGAGTGGAGCATTATGCTTGCCTGGTGACACTTCTCGGACGGGCTGGAAAACTTGATGAGGCTGATTCCATGATCAAGAAAATGCCGTTTGAACCAGATGCTAGTGTTTTGGGACCGAAAAATTACGGAAACTACATTCTTCTGTCAAATATTTATGGTTCCGAGGGCATGTGGGCGGAAGTCGATAGGGTGAGGGATACAATGAAGAGTCATGGTTTGAGGAAGAACCCTGGCTGCAGTTGGATTGAACTGAAGAATAGAGTGCGCATGCTTCTTGCAGGAGACAAAAGCGCATCCGCAAATGAACCAAATTATTGACAAGTTGGATCAACTGAGCTCGGAGATGAAGAAATCTGGATACTTTCCCAATACCGACTTTGTACTGCAAGATGTGGAGGAACAGAACAAGGAGCACATTCTGTGCGGACGGTGAAAAGTTGGCGGTGGCGTTAGGGCTTCAGAACACTCCTCCGGGGTCCTCCATCAGGGTGATTAAGAACCTCAGGATATGTGGGGTTGCCATGCTGTGAAGGAAGAGAGATTTCGGTCAGAGATAACAATCGTTTTCGTCATTTTAAAGACGGAGTTTGTTCTTGTGGGGATTATTGGTGAACTATCAGCACGTCTGACTAGGGGCTTACTCTTCAAAAGGATGAAGTTTCTTCAAGTTCAAGCTACTAAGTCCGACGCATAATCGTTCCATTTATAGGCCCCTCTGTTCGACTTTTCCATGCCGTGCTCAACGAAACTGAGCTTATTGCTACTTTTGGCCATAAAATACAACGAGGATGGAAGGGTTGGGAAATCCTCCCGGCGTGTACATGGCGGAACTAGGACTTGAAGACACCTCAATTCAAGGGATGAATCTCCTTTTGACGTACTCATGTAGTGCCCTCGTTTGTTTGCTTCAGTTCACCATCTTTACAAGAACGAATGATTGCATCTCTTCAATAAATTCGACAAGAAGGCAGTCTTCAATAAGTCCGGTGTCTATCATGTTGTAAGTAAATTCGACTAGGCACCAGTAGTACAAGAAAACTGAAGAATTTAAATGCTAATAGTACAAAAGAATGTACAAATTGAGAAAATGTGACAACATTATAAAGGTTAAAACAAATTTGTAATTACATCGTTCCTCTCGATAAAAATATGTTTTTTGGTATAACTTCACTGTTATCTCAAGGTATAAATTGCTGAGAGACCAGAAAATCAAGTGAATGGTGGTTCAGACCATACCATACGCACTCGGTTAGAATTGGATGGCTGCTTTCATTTGTCAGGGATCCTAAATCTGCTAACTTCCATAGACGACCTGCACAGCTTAACTCTCTTCATATCCTGCTGAACACATAAAGAAATTAGACAATGAAGTCAAGGAAAACTATTGATGGATTATTGCAAGATGTTTTAGATTTTGGACGCCACCTTGCGAGGGCTTTTTGTTACCTCAAGGCACCATCTGGTTTTTTAAGGGCTAGAATACGGATGTAAATCATCACATAAACCCGAGGCTAACCACCAGTTACAGGACATCTAGCAAAATCCTAAATTTCGAGCATATTTTATGCAGAATGTCAATTAATTGAGCAAGGCGTATTCACATATTAATGATCGAAAGTAACAACCCTGTACCTTTACATAAAACGACTTAGACTTTGTACTCTTCAAGATGCATCCATTTTGTAGACGACCACTTGTTACCAATTATCACAGGGCATCCACCTATGACAGCGTATAAAATGAATAAAAATCAATAACAATATATGTTGGATAACCCAAAAAAACAGAGAGCAGAGAGTGCAAAAGAGCTTGCCATGCAAACTTGACGGGTCTAGAGTTGCATCGGGCCTCATGCTCCAGAATAGTAGTGCATCACCCATTTTAGGTTTCACTGCAAGTCCCTGTTTACCACATTCAGATAATTCATTCCACCATGGCACAGAGCTGATATTCCCCTTTGCAGCAGGAAACACCGTCTCACCGCCTTCCTCAACATCTGACCTGAATCAATGGCAGAAGAAATGGTAGATTAGAAAGACAAACGCTGAAAAAAACCAGAGACATAAGACACGGTAATGTGATACAAATTAAGTTACTTTAGTAAATATATTGAACGAGTGGGAAGAGAAAAACAATCTTACAGATACATCAAAAGAGTAGCAACCCGTTGGCCACCATTCTTGGTGTTGAACTCATCTAGGAAGTAATCAAAATGTGCATCGTATTTCTGCCCAACTTCATAGTGGAGAATCTGAAGTCCTTCTCCATGCTCTGAAAATTGCACGCAAGAATAAAAATCAGCAGATAATCATAACACTGAGATATAACCGATACATGGAGATAAAAACACTTAGGAGGCAAAAAGAATTAATCCGAATTTGTACTTCAGCATCATTGAACAATATTATAGTTGTAAAACTCTTTTCCTTTTGAAATTTATGCGATAAAAAGGCATTTGATTTAAAAGAGAGGTGTCATGGACTCACGGTACAAGGCACTAATCAAATAATCATTTGACAACAACAACAACAAAGCCTTTTCCCACTAAGTGGGGTTGGCTATAAGAAACATGGAGGTGTAGTAGAAGAAACTTGGAGGTGAAGTAGCATCATACCTACAGGAATGAAAGTGAAGTCTGCTATTCTCTTCTCGATATCCCTAATTATCTTATCGCGTCCTCTCTTCAGAAACATTCCGGAGCTTGTGCGCACCCTGCAGAGAAGGATTTCTCAGGCATCGTAAAAAATTTCTAAGGTGACACCAAGACTACATTTATACATGTAGAGATCGAAATGCTTAGAAATGCATACCTACTATCTTTGCTTTTCCCAGTCTTGCTATCAACAACCGATGACTTTACCATATGAGGTTTAGCAAGGTTTATCAAGTAGTCACATTCTTCCTTGGACTGTTCAAAATCATATCAAGATTAACATTCCGAAGCTTTTCGTTAAAGTTCTCCGTTCAAGGGAAAACTAATGAAAAAGACTTGAAAACTTTGAGTTTTAACGATAATGACAAAATAAAGAGTAAAGTGAATAGTATCATGATTGACTTTTTAGTGTAAAAATATGATTTTTACTTAAAGTAAATAGTACAGAAGTTTTTCCTTAAATTCCTTTTATTCAACACTAATTTGCATAATTCACATTTCACGTTTCTCAAAAAATATAAAATTAAGATCAAACCATAATCTGAAACACATAAAACAGATTAATTAATTAAAATGAGCAAAACTAACCAAGAAATTATGATATATGAAGGCTCTGGGCTCCCAAGAAATCACTTCCGTCCACTGCTCTACTCTATTCCCCAATCCATCACCTCTGAAAAATAAAATTACACTTATTTACTTAAATCCAGAAAAAACGATGATAAAAGGAAAGCAAATTAACTTAAATTCCGAACAGATCGAATTCACTTAAGAGCGAAATGCGCACCTCTCGAAGGTTTTCCGCCTAAAAGAGCTGAGATCGTTAGGTGAAGAGTCGTCGGTGCTGACCGGAAGCGAAACGATTCCGAAAGCGAGAAGCATGAGAAGCACCACCGATAGCATGAGCAGCATCGACAAGACGAGCATGAACGTCGACCATTTCTTGCTCTGCAACCGACCGTACCTCCCCTTCGCCATTTTTGAACGAGCTCCGAAACCCTAGACCTCTGATCTGGATGCAAAAACCCTAATTCTCATGCAAAAGCAATCGCTGAGTGCTTAAATTCTGAGTTCCCTGAGAACTCGCCACTCGGGGACACGGAAGCTTTCAGAATCTCAGTGAGGGAGATGGTCTGAACGCCAAGCAAATGATTATGTCATTTTTGAAACGTGTCCGTTATTGATAGGTCGGAAGGTTAACCATCAACTAGTCAAGCTGACGAAATTACCGTGGTGTTTGAATTTTGGGAGGTTTAATTAATGGGTATTTTGGTGATTTCGTATATGGCGGTTTTATTTTCCAGCTGTTGGAGTGTTGTGGGCTGTACAATGGTTATGTTCAGGAAATCTAGCTTATTTGGATATGCTTTTAAAATGAATAAAAGTGTTTTTGGTGAAAATATTTGTAGAATCAATCATTTGTGAAAATGCAAGTAAATTATGAAAAAACACTTAAAGTGCTTCCTGAAAGAAGCACATAACTAATGCTTCTTGCAGAAAGCACTTTAAGTGCCTTTGAAATCAAAAAATATTTTCTCGAAAAACGATTTCAATCATTTTAAAAGCGAATCCAAACGAGTCCTAATTAATTGCTTTTCTTTTCTTTTTCTTATTTTCTGCCTGCAGGTTTGAATAATAAAATCGGTTGCATCTGGCACCAATGTAAAATTGGGGCTAAAAACAACACACTAACAAGAATCGAGCATGCCCGATTTACTTACGTCAATTGATTCTCTTTTGATTTACTCGATTCAAAATCAAAAACAAAAGTGGGCACGTAAAGAAAAGGAGCGTGTGGATATTTCATGTTAAACATGTCGCTATGCTGCGGCATGAATCCAAAGCGAGTTCGAGTGGTAGCAAAATCCCTGAACCATATTTGAGGAGTTTCTGACAAAAACCAATCAACCTTCTGCCTTTCCTAAATTAAAAGGATCCATCTTTCTCTACTTAAAGATATACGAGGCTTTGAAAAAGTGAAAGAAACCTGAGCTAATACTGAATCAAATAGGCTTAATTTCTAAAACTTCCAATGGATCTGATCAGCAAGCAGGTGCGAGCAATCATAGCGACTCGAAGTGAAAAACGAAGTGCCGACTGTCCTTCCCCTACTCTTTTATCTGGACTTGGGACCGACAATATAAGATAAACATACACATGTAGTTGCGAGCAATACCAACAAAAAATCTATCTTAAGACTCTTATCAGCATCACCTGCTCCACGCTATATCATTCACAGCAATCACACACAATCACAGATACATAAGCCATTGAGATAAAAATGGACTTTCCGAGATAACACTAGCTTCTTCAATTCTATAGTGAATTATGCTCACTGAAACCAGATTTGGTCTACTGTTTCTGCTAAACAAAGTTTCAATCATGCAGACACACAACACATTTCTGGTTGGAGATTAACCAGAGATTTTTGAGTGTCACCAGTTTTATACAACCCCTAGGCATGATTGTATGCAACTGGTGATGCAACAGATTTTCTCGAGATCATTGAACCTCTATTCATTCCCTCTTCAAACCATCCTGAGCTATAGCAATTGGTTATTGTAATTTGTCTCAGAAACTTGGTGTCTTGACACTTTATGTTGTTTCAAATCAACCCGATTTATGTTGTTTCAAACCAACCGTTAGGTGCTAGTCAGACGGTGGGTTGGGGCCTAGCGCCTATGCGGCTAGGAGGGGCATAGGCAAGCGCCTAGACGGACAAAGCGGATTTAAATAAATCTAATATATTTCGTGTAAATAAGTGTGTTTATACTTCAAATATATATAATTTCATTATAAACTACAAAATAGAATGACATATATATTACGAAGTATTGGAACATAATGAAAACATGAGGAACAAGCGTATAATATGTGTTTATTTAAGTATTCAACAATCCAATACAATTTATTGAGAAAAAAAAATGTAAAATGAAAGTTATCTATTTTCTGTCTAAGTGATTCACAACTTAAGTGGATGCCTAGACTGGTTTAGGCAGGTGCCTAGGCAATCTAGGCAGGCGCCTTAGCAGGTGTAGGCGCCCTTTCTTAATTTTCATACGCCTATGCACTAATCGGATCGGTAACCAGCCGCCTAGCGTCTAGGCGGGGATTTTAAGTGTCACCGGTTTTATACAACCCCTAAATATGGTTGTATGCAACTGATGATACTACAGATTTTCTCGAGATCATTGGACCTCCATTCATTCCCTCTTCAAACCATCCTGAGCTCTAGCAATTGGTCATTGTAATTTGTCTCAGAAACTTGGTACCTTGACACTTTGTTTCAAATCAACCCGATTTTGTACATCAACAAAACCATTGCAGCTAACATAGAGCAAAATTTCAGCAATCTATACCTATTTCTGTAAATACTTTATTTAATCATTGAAAATTACCACACAGAGCAATATTACATACTCAATCACATTTTTACAAGAACAAGAAGGTCAAACCGCTTAACCTGATTAATCTTGACCGCCTCCTCGCTCCTTCTGAATCTGCTGCCGCTGCTTCTCGGCGAGCTTATCTATCGCCGACTGCACCGCATCATGACCGCCGATGAGAAGTCGGGTTATAACTTCCGGATCCGTCTCGAATCGGGCCTCCTCGAACTCCTTCCTAGCGTTCTCCCTCAGCACGTCTCGCCAGAGAACGCCTCGAGAGTCCGGCCACATGAAGAACCGAGTCGCCCTAATTATGTCTCGGTAAAGACTCAGCGCCTCCCGCCGAGTGCTGGTGAGTCGCCGCCGATTCAGCAACTCCTCCTCCTCCTCGTCGAGGTGTTTCTCTTTCTTCACTATGTGTCTGTCCAGAAGCTCCTCCACGGTGTCCGGGCCCTCGTGCAATAGACGCCAGCTACAATTGAAAACGGCGTCGTTGCGCCCGATGATGAGCTTCAGAGCGATTCGACATTTTTGTAGATTCGCGTTCATCTCTCTGCTCAGTTGGGGGGTTGCAGAAGATCGGAGCAAATAGAATACAAAGAGAAATATAAGGTGGGCCGAAAGCGTCATCGAATTGATATGGGCTTAAAAACTTTTTCTTTAGGCCCAAATGTGTGGAGGATCAAAACATTAGATTTTTTTTCTTTAACCAACGATAACGTTAGTGGATAAATGCCAGATGTTAGGGCGTTGGGGGACCGGTGAGATTAAATCCACACGAGATTCCATAAACATCATTAGTTTCAGTCACTGTGTTAAATGACACCAATATTGTTAAAAAAACATAAAAAAATCATTGATGTATTACCTAATGTAACCAAATAATACAGTTGTATTTTCTGTTAAGATCATTTCGGTATAAGTAAATTGGACATACTGATTTCCAAACCCTTGATTGTCTCTACATATTATTTTTTTCACTCTAAAACAGCTCCAATTAGGAATTAGTTCTCGGTTATTCCACTCATCCACCAAATTAATTTAGATCCTAGTCCATGACTGCTTTCTAAAATGCATATTACATTAAACTACTTTACTCAATAGGAATAAGGATTCGAACTCAAGTATGAAGAACCGGAACATTACGTTAACCAATTGGTCACACCTACACACACAAATCTTTTTTTCTTTTTATTTTTCTGGCTTACCAACAGTTGAATCCTTATCAAATTGTTATTATAATTATTAACGTTCCCTAGTTATTTTACAATCCTTACCCAAAGGAAATTAGGAAAGCCAGCTCTAGTCCCCTTCCTAATAAGATTTGGTTACCAAATTAGCATACTAGTTAGTGTTCAATTGTGACTCAACTAACGCACACAAATCCTAGGAGAGTTATATGCTTATTGCACACCATAAATTGCAGCAATTTTACAGCCTTTTTATTACTGCCTACTCCCTTGGATTTGAACCTTTTGAGAGTGTCGTAAATGGATCCCGTTGTTAGGTCTCCGAACTTGTTGGCATTGAAGGAATTGATTCCGTTAAAGCCGTGGAAGAAGCCCCGCCTCCGTTGTCATAATGTCGATACGGGAAGTATATGAAGGTGAAAGATGGGTTAAGAGTGTATCAGGTGCCTAAGATAGCGTTGCAGAGCGAAGAGAACAATGATATTATAAACGTTGAAATTCCATATGAAGGGTTGTTTGAGTTCGTTGACAAGTTTGTCGTTAGGAAAGTTAGGGTTTTGATTAACCGGGTACTTAGAGAGATATTAAGCTTACTAAAGTATGATGCGTACCATAGTTAACGACGCTTATGAATGTGTTTTTTGTTTGTTTAGGTTTGTGCATGGTTTTCTAATCTCTCATTAGTTGTAAATTATGACGTGCTAATTGTCTGACTTTAGTTTTTCAATTTTGTTTTGCCTCTTAACCAAACGACGTCGCATATGGCCTAACATTCGCGCGTCAATCTTTCCTCGCTCTTTCTTTCCACCGTCTCCTTTCTCCCGTCTTCGCAGTGTTGGGAAGACTGAAGCTCAGCTATGGCGTTAACCAAATCAACCCTCCATTTCCGCCCGCTTTCTCTCTCCCATTCCGCCGCGAATTCTCAAACCCTACTCTTTCTCTTCAGCTTCAGAAGCCCATCTTCAAGAGACCGACACCCCAGACGACGATTCCCAAACTGCCCCTGTCCCCTACCTATCCGCCGACGAAAACCTAATCGCCGACAAATTCCACTCCCTCATCAAAGACCACCACCGCAACAACCCCAATCCTAATCCCAACCCTCATCCCCCGAACCCCACCTTCACAATCCCTGCTCTCTCGCAAGACTTCTCCCAAATCTCCGCCGTCCATTCTGTATCTCCCTCCGTCGTCCGCAGCGTGATCGAGAAGTGCGGTGGTGTCCGCCACGGCATCCCCTTGGTCCAGGCAGTTGCCTTCTTCAATTGGGCCACGGCCCGCGACGGGTTCGAGCAGAAATCGGAGCCCTACAACGAGATGGTCGACCTCGCTGGAAAGGTGAGGCAGTTCGATTTGGCTTGGCACGTGATCGACCTGATGAAAGCTCGGAATGTTGAGATTACGGTCGAGACTTTCTCGAATCTTGTCCGGAGATACGTAAGGGCCGGATTGGCTGCGGAGGCGGTGCACGCGTTTAATCGTATGGAGGAGTACGGTTGCGAGCCTGATAGGATTAGGGGTGGGCATAAAAACCGCCAAACCGCAAAACCGCATCGAATCGTAAGAAAAAAAATCGAAAAAAACCGTGTTGACCGGAAAAGTCAACTTTAAGTGAAAAATCGAACCGAACCGTTCAAACCGGTTCCGGTTCCGATTTCAAATGACCAAGAACCGGCCGAACTGAACCGAACCGTTTTATTAATAATAAATAAATAAATTATATATACACACACATGTCATGGTATAATAGGTTGAAAAATAGGTTGAAAAATTGTGTACAGGAGCTGCTGCTTCTTGCTTGCTCTCTGAAGTCTGAAAACCTGCAATTTGTTTCATCATTTTTTTGTTTGTTGACTGATTGACTAGTGCATATGTATTTTAGTTGTCTCTTTTTGTTGACTTGGTGCCACTACCAAAGACATTTGCATTAAAAAAGATGTGTTGTATGCAACTTTATGTAATCAGTTTTAGAAGATTTATTTGAATGCATAATGATTTGGTGTTCAAATAATTTATTATTAGGAACCGTAAACCGGCAAGAACCGAATCGGAACCGGTGTAGACCGAACCGTAATGTTCTAGTCATAAATGTAAGTGGAACCGCACCAAATCGAACCGTTAATATATTTCGGTTCCGGTTCCAGTTTAGGGGTGGAACCGCACCGAACCGCACCGTGCCCACCCCTAGATAGGATGGCTTTCTCGGTAGTGATTGGGATTCTGTGCAAGAAGAGAAGGGCCAGCGAAGCGCAGTCGTTTTTCGATAGCTTGAAGCATAAGTTTGAAGTTGATGTTGTACTGTACACTAGCTTGGTTAATGGCTGGTGTCGAGCTGGTAAGATCTTGGAGGCGGAGAGGGTATTTCGGGACATGAAGGTGGCCGGGATCATGCCGAACGTGTATACTTACAGCATCGTGATCGATGGTTTGTGCAGGTGCGGCCAAATTGCGCGTGCCCATGATGTTTTCGCTGAGATGATTGATGCCGGTTGCCAACCAAATTCGATTACTTTCAATAATCTGATGAGGGTTCATGTGAAGGCTGGCCGGACAGAGAAGGTGTTGCAAGTTTATAACCAGGTGAAGAGGCTGGGATGCAATGCGGATGCCATTACTTATAATTTTCTTATAGAGTGTCACTGTAAGGACGAGAATCTTGAAGATGCAGTTAAGGTGCTCGATTTGATGGTTAAGAAAGGCTGCACCCCGAATGCATCGAGTTTCAATGCCATATTTCGGTGCATTGCGAAGTTGAAGGATGTGAATGGTGCTCACAGAATGTATGCTAAGATGGAGGAGTTGAAGTGCGAGTTGAACACGGTGACCTACAATATACTAATGCAGATGTTTGCAGAGTCTAAATCGACTCATATGGTGCTGAAGCTGAAGAGGGAAATGGATGAGAACGAAGTTGAACCTAACGTGAACACTTACAAGGTTTTGATCTCCATGTATTGTGGAATGGGGCATTGGAACAATGCCTACAGGTATTGCAGGGAGATGATTGAGGAGAAATGCTTGAAACCGAGTATGCCGGTTTATGAGATGGTTCTAGAACAGTTGAGGAAGGCAGGGCAGTTGAAGAAGCATGAGGAATTGGTGGAGAAGATGGTTGATAGGGGCTTCGTTACACGGCCGTTGGCAGTGTAGTCTGTAGAACTAGCTTAGCTACATTGCTTGCATTAGATTAGTCGTTGGATTACCTGTTTTCGTATGAATTTATGATGTAGCGTTTTATGTTTGGGAGTTGGGAGGATCACAATTTTGACGATTTTTAACAGAAAATTGAAACACAAGAAATACAAATGAATTCGAAACAAACATCATATGTTAACAAATGCAGAATGGGTCGCATGTTCTTGTTCAAAAACTACAAATTAAGGAATAAGAATTAATGACCTTGCATGTCAAGCATCTCGTCGAGACGTTTCAATCTCTCCAATCCTTCGCTAAGCAGAAAACGAGTCCGTTGCCTGTCACTGCACTGCCGGTTGTTCTCCAGTTCTTGTCGAATCATCGATCTTAGTTCACCTGTAAACATCAACCGCCTTTCCATCAAAATTATAAAGGAATACACACAACCTGCCCGAAAACTCTACGGATCCTTTTTACGAGGATCCTGGAGATCTTCAAATCGTGTCCGTTTATCGTAGTCAGAAATCATTTTAAATACTTTTATTTAAAATTAAATATGAATAGTATCTGACAAAAACTGATTATGCGATGTATGATGAACATACACGATTTGAGGATCCCATGATCCTTACAAAGAGGATCCCGAGAGTATCCTCGTTCCGAAAACTCAATCAACTCGAGGAGTGTATCATTTTCGTGCCTGTTAAAATATATACCAAGACTAAAAGTACTAATGAGCGTAATGGGCAAGAACAATGTGGTATTTCATCCAGAAATCTGTTGTTTAGTAGGGTAAGGGCGCCCAAGCCAACAAGGCTCCCGCTTTGACAGAGTCGGGAAAACGTCTATATGTTAATTAAAAGAGTGGTAAGGAGTAAGTTAACCTCTGGAATCCACAGGGGCTCTTCGGGTAATCCGAAGTGCTTGCCTATAAAGCTTCAAGACTCGACCGCGGAGAAGGAAGTCCTGCAAATCAAGGGCTTTAGCCATAACCCCGACACTCACTCCTTCCCTCAAAAAATACCTACACACACATAACACAAATAAATAAATTAATTAATTAATTAATCAGACTTTTTATCATATATTTTCATCTCCTTATTTTCTTTTTTAATTACATTTTCTGGCTATGAAATTCAGATCAGAGACCGGATCCTCATTTCTGCAATTTCTAAATCGATTCTGCCCAATTACAGATGCAGCTAGAATTTCATAAATGGAGGCAACAAACATGAAAATTGTACCAGAAATTACTTTAATTTAAAGAATAAAAATAAACAGCAATATCTGCAGACCTTGAGGGAAAGAAAGGGGGCCGCAGCCTGCAGCAGTGGCAATAGAAGGAGCGTGTTGGTCTGAGGAGTTGACGGCCGCCTTGTGCTAACTCCGACGTTTGTTGTTGGTCCTTCAATTGGTCTCAATTTGTGGATGAGCCCAACTTTTGTTGCCCAAAAGAAGCTGGGCTTCTCTTACTGAATATTGCTCTGTCTAGGAAGGCATTTGCCCATCTTTCTCTTAGTTCAACTCTTAACGTTTATTTTCTCTACGGTTTAGTAATATTAATCTTGATTAGTAAGTTATAAGTTTTAAATTCGAATCTCATGAATTGTGAGTTTGTAACGAATTTATTCTCCACCCCAGAGTGTAATTAGAAAAAAAAAAAAAAAAATTCTTCAACTATGCAAACAACAACAATTGTCTTGCACCAAAAATAGCCTTATTTGACAAAAAGTGAAACATTGTATTGAGTCTTTGACCAATCCACCCGTGCGTGCGTGAATGGATTGGAATACCGCCACAACATCCCTTAGCAAAGTAAAGATTAAGGTTTGAAGGGTGCCCTAGAACTAGATCTTCAATAGGAAGCTTCAAAATGTTTTTCCCATAAGATTTGCTCACGAACACGCATGGTCCACAGAACATGGAAATAACACCCAGCTACCTACTTGTTTTGTGTTAGCAGTGCTTCTTGGCTCTTTCGCTGGCATTTTCTGAACTCCTAACAGATATTTAATTAAATCCGAATAATAATTAGCATGCATGTCGTCGTCATCTTAAAAGTTGACGTACGTCGGCAATGCATGTCTTCCGGTGACGAGTCTGTGATGCAGACCAAGTGTACATGTTTGACCTTATTAAGGGAGAGTTAATTAAGTTCAAGCTCCTATGAATGAAGACGAAATACATCAATATAACTTATACTAATCAAATTTTCATATGGTGAACCAATTCAATTTTGTTTAAAAAACAAACCAATTGCAGCTAATTGTATTTTAACTTACTAATTAATTATTATCATTAGGCCCATGAACATGATACTTTTCATACCAACGAGCCGATCCCTATGGTTTGGTCATGTTAATTATATATATATATATATAATGTTCACACACTCAGTCAAGGAATCGATGTGCATACTAGTCATCGCTAAAAACAAATCAAATAATTTGATACATCTCAACCATTCGAACTTTATGCACTACAAAATCATAGTTAGATGAACTCTTAATTACTTGATTTACAAGCTCATCGACCTTGCATATAACCAATTTATCGAGTAGTCAATTATGTTATGCACAAGTTAAACAAGATGAACAAAAGTTTTTCTAAAGTTTTTTCTCACTGATTTGAAAAAAAAATCTTCCTAATGATTTTGTTATGTAAGTTGGTGAAACAGTTAAGTTGGTACGTAGCATATATCATTCTGTAATCTAGTCAACTAGTACACGTTTTGTCCAACTTTTTTTTTTCCTCTTTTTTTTTTTTAATGAAACGATAGCGTTAGTAAGTTAAATGTTAGATTAGTCACCGACGGGATTTGAACTCACGCCGTAAGGGCACAACACCTTTCCATCACTGTGGTAAATGACCACTTACAAATTTCCGAATTGCAAATTTGTCATATTATCTTTTGAAATCCACGTGTAATATTCAATGATTGGATCAACGTTTAACAGCTCCCTCATAAAGGGTTGACTAGTCAATTCCTAAGCATTGCTTAAGTTGTTTACTTCGGTTTAGCCCGTGGATTAGAAATAAAAAAATGTTTATCTAAATTAAATCTCGTGCAGAAAAATCCGGAAACCTGCATGAAACGCAAGCTGTATTATTCAATTCAGTCGAGCAAATATGGTTTGCTAGGTCACACACACCTCCCTTGTTTGACCATCCCCTCTCTCTTCTTGACATTGTCAGATAAGTACATACATATATATATATGTATGTATGTATGTATATATGTATATGTGTGTGGATACAAATATATATATAAGTAGTGCTGCTGGATAAGCGATTAAACACAATTTCATTATCCTCCTCAACGTCTAAAGCGTGCAATAAGATTAGGGTTATTCTTTTACATGCAACAATGGATCATCAGAAACAAGGTAAAACAAAAAACAAGATCCTGAAGTTTCTACCAAAAGCTACTTCCGGTGTTTCTTTTCACAGCCGTCCTTACAGCCCTACCAGGGAAGCCGCCGCCAAGCTTAAAGCTCATGGGCGGCGAGGGTTTTCCGGCCCCTTAATGATTCCAGATCAAGTCCGAAGAAAACAGAGAAACGGAAGCTTTGACGGTCAGACACAAGAGGAGGAGCCGACTTCGCCGAAAGTGTCGTGCATGGGACAGATCAAGCACAAGAAGCACATTAACAAGATAAATCGTGTTAATTTGATCCCCAAAGATCGCCAAAAATCAAAGCCTCCGGGGCAGTGGTCGCCGCGTGAGATCAAGAAGCACGGTTTTCCGTTCCGGAGGATGTTTAGCAACATTAACCCCGGAAGAAAATCTGAATCTGATGCCAGTGATCTTGATCGTAGTCGGACGGCTCCATCTCTTCCGGATATGGCGCCTTCGTTGGGTCAGATGAAGAGATTTGCAAGCGGACGTGGCCATGTTTTCGAAAACTTCGAATGGGAATCTCCTCATAATATTATGAATAATCGTCGCGATTATTCGGATGAAGAGAGAGAAGACGGCGATGAGAGAGAAGAAGATGTTAGAATCGCATTCTCAGCGCCTCTAGGGATTGGAGGAAGAAATCAATTTCATCAAGTTCCTTTGCAGCCAAAGAAAGAAATCAATCTATGGAAGAGAAGAACAATGGCACCCCCTATTCCTCTAGAATTGAAACCCATGGTCTAATTAAATTGTTCATAATGGTTTCGGTTTATCATACATTCTTTTTTAGATTAGGGTTCTCTTTGTCCTCCACTTTTTATTTTTTTGGGTGTAAAATTTTATTGGCAAATTATGTTAATACATACACATGTATTGGACAAAAGTTAGGATCCATAAGATCTTTTTGGTGGCACGGTTTAGCTTTCTTGTGCTTAATTATGCTTTTGATGATGTTTAATTTGCTTAATTTGGAAGTGTGAATGCTGCATTCGAACTAGAATACTGTTTCAGCAACTAGTGCAAGATGTTTAACTGAGTCTTCTTTTTCTAATTCATGGAAATTATACAAAACTAATATGGTGGGCGCACATATATATATATATATATATATATATATAGTAGAATTAAATAAATTAAAACCATCTTTGGATATATATTGGGGCAAATTTGGTTTATACATACCAGTCAGGCATGCAGCTGCCACAATTGAAAATAAGGTTAACTAATTGATTGGTGGTTTTCTCCGTCGAATCTATATTGTTGTAAAATTAATTGGCAATGCTACAATCCGTCATTTTCAAAACAAGAAAATGAGTTTTTTAATGGTCCATAAATTTTAACTTGGTTGTTGTCATATTTTTAACCTTTTTTATATAAACTAATATAATTATATGGTTAATTTGCATTTGGTTCTTACAGATTCTCAAAATAACGACCTTATAAGAGGACTCCATATTGATACCTGAATGAAGGTCTAGAATGCATTTAACCAAGATTTGCACCTTTAATTTAACGCCAATTTCAGGTTCAATTCTAAAAAAAATAAGGTGACAAATAAATATCAATTCGTGCCCTGCATGTTTGAATGCGGTGAGATTGGGTCACCTTCGCATATCCTTTATTTTTATCAATAATATACAGCTGACCAACTTTGACTGGATCCAACCTTTGTAAAAGACTAGGCAACCTCTGAATATGTGACATACCCACTAACACAATTGGGTGGATCGTACTGAGTCAGTTTGGGCTTTTGGCCCATTGGTTTTTCTAGCAACGAATGTTGCCTACAAACTGTTTCAAGCCTTAATCTATGTTGGTCTTCTGTGTTTTTTTTTTTCCTTTTTAACAAACGATAGTATTTACACTAAAAGAGAGTGAGTTAAGCTTTATAATGGGTTAGCAATGTGATTCAAATTCGTCTTTAACGAGAGTCGAACCTAAGACCTCATAGTGGATCTCCGAATAATGTACATGTAGGTTGCCACTCATAAAAAGCACAAGAGATTCTTTTTAGTCTTGTGTTACTCGATCTCAAATTTGTTTGACTCTATGCAAGCGTTGACCATATAAGATAATTCTACTAAAGTTTCTCTCATTCAAGAGTACTATGTATTAGGTTCTTAATAAATTGGGTAAAGTACAAAAAACTACCTCAACTATTGTGGTCATGACAGTTTCATACCTCATCTTTTAAAATTGACAATGTCATACCGCATCTTACGAATTTGTGACAATGTCATACCTCCGTCAATTTTTCTGTTAGTTTTTCTGTTAAATGCTGACGTGGCAATAGACGGGAACCACTTTCTATTAAAAAATTAATAAAATATTATTAAAAACTAAAAAAAATATTTAATATTTTTTAAATATTAAAATAATAAATAAAATTAAAATTAAAAAAAAAAGTGTAAAGTACAAAAAACTACCTCAACTATTGGGATCACGACAGTTTCATACCTCATCTTTTAAAATTGACAATGTCATACCGCATCTTATGAATTTGTGACAATGTCATACCTCTGTCAATTTTTCTGTTAGTTTTTCTGTTAAGTGCTGACATGGCTTGATTCGTGACCTACTTTCTATTAATAAATTATTAAAAACTAAAAAATAAATATTTAATATTTTTTAAATATTAAAATAATAATAAAAGGCCAAAAAAAAAACCCTCATTTCGTCCCTCCCCACCCCTCCTCCCTCCTCCCTCCTCCCTCCTCTCTCCTCTCCCTTTCTTCATCTTCTTCCCCCACCTGCAAATCCCAACAAAAAAAAAAAAAAAAAAAAATCCAATTTGTCTTCCCCCCACACTCGCACTCAATTTCCCCACACCCACACCCACACTCTTCTCCCTCCTGCAACCCAGAAAAAAAAAAAACCCAAATCTCGTCGGTGGGAAGATGGGTGCACAAAGAAGGTGGAGGATGGGTGCGGAAGAGGATGTGGAGAATGGATGAAAGTGGTGGATTTGGGGTTTGATGGGTTTTCAAAAAAATAATTTTTTTTTTCCTTCTTCTTCTTCTTCCTTCTTCTTCCGCAGGGGGGTTGATGGTTTTTTTTTTTTTTTTTTTTTTTTTAAAAAAAAAAAAATTCCTTCCTCCTTTTTTTCCTCTTCTTCTTCTTCCTCCTCCTTCTCCTTCTCCTTCTCCTTCTTCTTCTTCCGCAGGGGGGTGTTGATGGGTTTTCAAATTTGTTTTTTATTTTTTCTTCCTCTTCTTCTTCTTCCGCGCCGATAGGGGGAATTTTTTTTTTCCTTTCTCCTTTTTTTTTCCTCTTCTTCTTCTTCTTCTTCTTCTTCCTCCTCCTCCTCCTCCTCCTTCTTGTTCTTCTGCAGAGGGTTGTTGGGTTTTCAAAATTTTTTTATTTTTTTTATTTTTTTGGGTTTGCAGGTGGGGGGAAGAAAATGAAGATGGGGAGAAGAGAGAGGAGGGGGGAGGGGGAGGGGAGGGACAAACTGATGGTTGATTTTTTTCTCTGCTTTTATTAGTATTTTAATATTTAAAAAATATTAAATAATTGTTTTTTAGTTTTTAATAATTTTTTAATAGAAAGTATGTCCCGAATCAAGCCACGTCAGAACTTAACAGAAAAACTAACAGAAAAATTGATGGAGGTATGACATTGTCACAAATTTGTAAGATGCGGTATAACATTGTCAATTTTAAAAGATAAGGTGTGAAACTGTCGTGACCCCAATAGTTGAGGTAGTTTTTTGTACTTTACCCTTTTTTTTTTAATTTTACTTTTATTTATTATTTTAATATTTAAAAAATATTAAATATTTTTTTTAGTTTTTAATAATATTTTATTAATTTTTTAATAGAAAGTGGTCCCCGTCTATTGCCACGTCAGCATTTAACAGAAAAACTAACAGAAAAATTGACGGAGGTATGACATTGTCACAAATTCGTAAGATGCGGTATGATATTGTCAATTTTAAAAGATGAGGTATGAAACTGTCATGACCGCAATAGTTGAGGTAGTTTTTTGTACTTTACCCTAATAAATTTCTCTTTTCTTGAGCTAGAACATATCCGAAGTCTAATTCAACTTCATATATTTTGGTCACGCAAATAAAGTACAAATTTTGTAAAATTAAACTTGAATATTCTAATTTGTTGATAATTAACCTAGTAAGTCACGCGGACTCCTTGGTATCTCAGAATTTCACCAATAAGCTCTCCTTTACCAGAACCCACATATCTTCCGCAAATTTCACCATCTCTAATGAACAAGAAAGTAGGCACCTCCACCACCTCCATGTCCTTGAGGAACTGCAGGCAGCTGTCATTCTCATCACCGTTCATCCTCGCAAACACCACCGTGTCCATCCGCTTCGACAGCTTCACCACCGTCGGATACACCTTGACACACGGCCCACAATGCTTGAGCCCCACGTCAAGCACAATCAGCTTGCTGTCCACCTTATGCTCCTCAATCAGCCTCTCTACGTCCTCCTTCTGATGCAGCTGAACCACCGCGGAGTGGTTGTCGCCGTAATACAACACGTCCCCCCTCAGCTGATCGCCGTCTATTCCGTCCTCCTCGTGAATCTTCTCCATGCTCTTGTAGAAGCTGAAGTGGGGGACCTTGTCGATGTTCTCTCTCCTGCAGAGCTCTCGGGTGTCTTCCGACTCGTCACCCATGACCAATAAAAACTCTACGTCGTTACACGTGCGGCTGAGGTCGACCATGAACGGGTACATTTTTTGGCTCTGGGCGCTGTGGCTGGCGGCAAACTCGACGACAACGAGCTTGTTTTTGGCCAACTCGAGGGCCTTGTCGAATTCCTGGATGCTGTGCACTCGCTGAACTCTCTCGTCACTTTGAACCTCTTTAGTGCCGGCGGTGGCTGTGGCGTTGATGGTGAAGTTGCGGAATTGGTTTCTTTTTGTTTCAAGTTTTGTTGGTAAAGGTTTAAGCTTCGTCACCAAACTTAAACCTTTACCAACAAAACAACTTGTTCTTGGGATTGAAAATTGCGATGACGAAAGGGGTTTGACTATGAAATTCGTGATGGTCGCCATTGAAGGTAGGATAGGAAGATTTGGTTTGCGTTGCTTTGCTTATTTAAACCTATGAAAGTGTTGGGAGACTCTGGTGTGGAATTATCTTGAAATCTCAGCAGCCACTGCTTTGTGTGGTTCGTATGATCCACTGAGGCAATATATAAGGGTCATTTTATGAAAATATCCTTGTCATATTCAATCTTTCATTCTCTTTGATGTGTACGGTAAAGCCCAAAATATCTTATTTTGTGGTTTCAATCTCTTTTGAAATACATGAAACCCATAAGTAGGCTCAAATCATTGATCCACAAAATTTGGGCTTATATAATCTCTATATAGTACTACTATTTGTACATTTCAAATCGGTTTGAGGTAACAATAAGCTGTTGAGTAATGAAATTCACCTTATATTATACGTTTTTTGTTTTTTGAACTTTAACGAAAAGCCATGTTTTAACACTAAAAAATCAATCTTAGTATTATTCACTTTACTCTTTATTTTGTTCTTATCGTTAAAACATAAAGTTTTCAAACCATTTTCATTAGTTTTTTTTTTTTTTTTTGGTCGACACCTTAAATTCTAGTTTGATGGTCTGCTTGGGATTGTTTATCTAAAAAAAAATTCCAACTTTTCTACAATAAGGGCGTCTTGCGGGAGAAACGAATCCTTACCATTAAATTCAAACAACGGATGAGGTTAAAACAACGGTTCCAAGCAATTGGATCGAAAAACCATTGGAACAGAGAGAGACCATGGAGATCATGGGGGCGGTGGCTAAAAATCGGGTTGTCGATATTTTCAATGGTAGTTGCCAATTGGGATGAAGGTGGAGATTAGCGACGTTAGATTTGCTATGGCACATAGGAAAAATGCATTTCCAACCGAGATAGCAACTCAATTAGTAAATTAACGAATTAGCAACTGACGCATTACTTCTTGAAATAACATTTGACAAGTGTTTCTCTAGATCGAATTTCTATAAGCCAGAAACTGGATATTTTTGGGTTGGACCAAAGTTGGGTAGACTCACGCAATCAACTACAACCAATGTCTTGAGTTTTGACAAATCAAACATCAATAAAAGAATCTTCAATTCGACAACCCAAAAAATCTCCAGGACTTTTTCCTGTCTACTAATTTACTCAAAGGCCTTGGATGGCTTAGTCAAAAGAACACCATTCACGTTTCGGAAAGTTTTTCTACCGAAGTTATAATTGAATCGGGCCCCTTTTAAATATCAAGTGGATTTTCAGTGAGATTTGGTTGCTCCATATCTCCGACCGGCATCTCGAATGCAAATATTAAGCATATATTGTTATGCAGAAAAAGTTAAATGGTACCACAGATTAAAATGGCTTGAAAAAAGTATTGTTGGATTATCATTTTCCAACTATGAGTAGGACAACAACACCACTCAGATGTCTCGTGCTCTTCCACTGCCCCAAAAAGGCGAATGAAGATCCTCTTCGATCTTATTTATGAGGATCTTTGGATCTTCGTAAATCGTGCAGTTAAAAATATTTTAAATTAAATATAAATAGTATCTGATAAAAACTAATCGTAAAAGATATAATGAGTGGACACGATAAGAGTGAAAAGAATATACCATATTAATTAAAAGGAAAACTAATGAAAATGACTTGAAAATTTTGAGTTTTAACGCTAAGGACAAAAGAAAGGGTAAAGTGAATAGTATTAAGGTTGACTTTTTAGCGTAAAAATATAATTTTTCGTTAAAGTAAATAGTATTAGGAACTTTTCGTTAAAGTTCCTTTGTTTAAAAGTGCCACTTTAATGAGTGAGAACATCCTCCTGGCAAGAAGGCAATATGGAAATTAGCAAAGCAATTCAAAGTGCCACTTTAAAGATTGAGAAGAATATACCCTATTATTTAAAACATTCACTGATATTTATTAAATGCTATTTCTACATTTTTTTAATACTTTTTATACATTTTTTTTTTAATTAATTTGTGTTCTTAATTATGAGTGAAGATCTGGATTCTCTTTATAAGGATTTTGGGGATCCTCAATTACATCTGTTTATCGTACATCATGTAGTTAGAAATTATTGTAAATTTTTTATTTAAAATTAAATATAAGCAGTACCTGACGAAAATGACCGCATTATGCACGATGAACGAATCTAATTGAAAGATTTTCAAGGTCCTCATAAAAAAATCCGACGAGTATCTTTTCTCCTTAGTTATTTTAGTTGATTTGTTCCGATAACTAAAAATTAAAAAAAAATATAAAAAATAAAAGAAGTGTGTAAATGGTAGCATCTATTATGAATGCAGGCTAAAAAAAAAGCAAAATAACAAACATCCTTATATATATTTATATATAACCTAGGAAAAAGAATAAGGCATTAATAATATAGTATGCCAACAAATACAAGGTAGCATGTCATGTGCCAGAAATTATAAAGAAACCGAAAAGACTGGTGGCACTGCCAGCGGCAGGCAAAGTAGCATGGAAGACAAAGAAAACACTCGAGATGGGATGAGATGAGTTGAGAGGGATTTGGATCCTCTGCTAAGCTAATGAAAAAGATCCTTCTCATCAATCATCGTGGATCGTTAGATTTTTATTCAATGGTTACAATTATTATAATTTTAAAAGAATTCTCCTATTTGTAGTCGTTAGATAAAAATCTAACAACCCACGATGATTGATGAGGAGGATCCTCTCCATTAGCTCAGGAGAGGATCCAGATCCAAGAGAGATCCAAACCAAACCAAACCCAACCGGTGGGTGTGGGCCCAGACATGTCGGCATGTTTGTAGGGCAGCCGTAGCTAAAACCTAAACGCAACGTGACACACAGCCAACCAAACTGCCAACACAAATTTGCCTTTCGTGAATTTGATAGATGAGATCCGAAGAAAATCATTTTTCGTGATTGACGGACTCACTTTGTGAAATCTCTCAACTCCCTTGCTAGCGGACATGGTTCTAATCCATCAATCTCCTCCGTAATCTGAATTATTGAAATTTGATTAAATAACTAAACTAAAACGTAACTGTGATGGTATTCGATCCACGTAAGTGATCACTTCATTTCCCATCCCTAAATCACAAATAATCCATAATCACATCGGATGAAAAAAGTTAGAGTATATTAATGTATGGTATGCATCGCAATTAACGGCTCAAGATAGTCCATAAGTGCCTCAAATTCAACATTGACTTTTGAATTTTGAAACGTTAATTCAGAAGACGATGCACATAAGATATTAGGCACGGAAATTAAGGCAAATTCAACAGAGAAATTAATAAAAAAGATGAAAAGATCCAATCCAACCACGAAATTAAAAATTCCAAAACAAAAATACAAGAGAATGATAATAAATTAGCAGGTTAAGTAAACAAATAAAAATAAAAGAAAAGGAAAACAAAACCTAGATTTGAAAGATAATTAAAACAAGACAAACAACAAAAAGGAGCTATAGTGACGCGGGGGTGGACCGGTGATACCGGAAATTAAGATGATTTGGCTGTATCGGGCTTCCGGCAGAGAATCATGTGCATCGGAGTAAAGATTCCGGTTTCGCCGCCCCTGGTCAAAAAGTCGGCGGTTTTGAACAGCATCTCGTGCACATCCACGGTTCCTTTTGGTGCAATTCCGACGGCGGCGAGCACCGTCACCAGAATGTGGTTGCGCCAGTAGGCGATCCTCCCCATCTTCAATCGACTCCACCACGGCTGCGCCGGCGGCTTGGCCAGATCTTTCTCCTTCACCACCTCGAACCCGACCTTCCTCGCCGTCTCCGCAATGTCCGTATAGCTCCTGAGTCCCGGCAGGGCATCCCCTCTCTCGATTCCTTGAATGACCTCCACGTGTTCAGCGTCCTCACCCTTGTACTTGTCTGTCGTCACCCACTCGTACGACACGTACAGAGCCCCCGGCTTCAGAACCCGGAAGATCTCGGCGTACACCTCCTCCAGCTTCGGCGCGTGACATGTCGCCTCGATCGAGTACGCGCCGTCAAAGCTGTTCTCCGGGAACGGCATCTCGAGGAAGTTGCCGCATACGACCTCGCAGAGCGAGTCGAGGCCGGCCTTCTTGTTGTGCAGACGCGCGCGTTTCACCTGGTACTCGTTGATCGTGATCCCTGTGACGTTGGCCCGCGAGTGGGCCGCGATGGCACGCATAGGGCCACCCACGCCGCATCCGACGTCGAGAATTCGGTCTCCGGGTTTGACATCGATGAGATCGACGGCCATCTCCTCGTGGAGGCGCGTGGCGTCTTTGTGGGACTTACCGGGGATGTGCGGGGAGAAGTGGAAGGACTGCCCCCAACCCCACTCATAAATATCGGTGACTAAGTTGTAAAAGGTGTCTACAAAGTCGGGGACTTTCTCAGCCCTTTCGATCTCTTTTGGGCGGCGGAAGAAGGACCAATATTTGTCGTAGCTATCTTGAACTTTCTCGGCGGAGATGGAGCCACCGGAGAGATCTACGGCGCGCTTCCCCTTTCGCTCGGCGGGGCCGAGAATGCAGACAAACCAATAGATCCCGCCGGCGAGGAGAGCGCCCGTACAAAAGAGGGTGAGAGAGTCCATTGGACCTGGAAGAGAGTGAGAGAAGACAGAGAGGACTGAAGGACTGAAATTTTGAGTCTCTCTGAAATCGTGTTTGGCAACGTACTAATTGGGTATTTAACTTTTTTATTACATCCAATATTGCTAATTGGACGCGCGTAGCCTCTTGCGTGGATCCAGATATTTTAAGACTATCTCTAACTGAAGGATCTATAAGGACAAAGGATAAAAAATAGCCCGAAAATCATCTCCAACCAAAAATTAGACCAAAAGGCTCGTGAGCCTCACAGGACAAAAAATGGCCTGGCTGGATTTTTCATTATTAATACATTTTCTGTCGAATATATCCGACAGTATTGTCCTCTCTTTTTTTTCCCAAACTTTTTTTTAATTTTTTTAAAAAATTGGACATTTTTTTTCCTATAAATATCTAAGTCATTTCTACACCATTTTTCACATAACTTTCACCCTTTTTAAAATTTAAGTTATAGTTTTTAAATTTAAATAATAAATTATGTTTGACCCTATAGCCTTTTAGCCCTCGATCGGAGACGGTTTTTTGTTACAGGGCTAAAACAAGCTATATGACCCTCGATTGGAGATGGAGGCAAATATAGCCTTGTACTGTACATTAAAATATTAATATCTTAGAGAGCCAAATGACTAAAACGAACCCTCTAGCTCTCGTTCGGTTGAAGATGGCCTAACACATGGAATTGCAAGACGACAAAGGTTGGTTGTGCTCTAGGAATAGAGTTTCAATTGATGATGGGTAAAATAATGCGGTTATCAAATACCAATTAAAACTTAGAAAAACTAATGAAAAGAGTTTTGAAAACTTTATGTTTTAATCAAAATGACAAAAACGTGTCGTAAGTGAATAGTATCAGCAGTGATTTTTTAGAGTAAAAATGTTATTTTCGTTAAAAGTGAACAGTACCGGAATGTTTCGTTAAAACTCCATTACAATTACGATTATGGTTAATTATTTATACAATTCTACAAGTATAAATATGCCCATGTAACCGTAAAAATAAACCGATAGTAACGGTTATAAATGTGAATATCAAATATATATATATATATATATATATATTGCATTTATCAGAAACAGCAGTGTTTAAAATTTATTTGATAGGCTCGATATTTTTATAGAAATATCCAAAATTCATAAGAAAAAAAAGTATGGAAGCGAGAAATTTAAGTTATAATCAACATATATCGTTAATATTTTTTACACACTTATTAAATATTGAAGAAAATATTAAATTCCATCATTTTCATCTAAATCAACTGACAATGATAGCAATATTAGACATATTCGTCGATATTTTTTATAAATTTATATATCAATATTTTTACTGATGTTGATATTTTAAATATTATCCCAGGTTAGTCAAGTAAAGAATCTTATGTTGTTTTTTTATATTTATTTTTAATGTATCTTCTCGAGTGCTGCAGCGTGACATGTTGTTGTTTTCTTTCATTTTAATAAACAAATAAAAATATTTTGCTGCTGTGGGTGTGGGGTGTGGATCCAGATTTCAAACTTGAGTTGAGTGAGGAACAGAGCTTACTTGGCACACTGTTGTGTGCAAGTGCTATTCTAGTAGAGTGATGAGTCTGGCCCAAAATCTGATTTGCCACTCTGATAAGAAAGATTGAGATAAAACTCCAACTGGATTGTGGAATAGAGAATAAGAGTGATTTTCAGTGACGGTTAAATCACGTTAATATCTTATATTAATTTTTTATACAAAAAGAAAGATAAAATAGAGAATAAGAGATAAGAGATGGAAGGGATAAGAACAGGAGAGGAGATAATCCTAGTCCCTGAATTATGCCCTTAATTTGGCCCCCTTACCCTCGCTCCCAAACTCTTCTTAATTTGAGTTACACTAATGCATTTTAAAAACAAACAAAAAAAAATGCATTTTAAAAACAGATTCAACGATTTACTACTAATCAACATTAAAACTGTTGTTTGAAAAAAAAAACATTTATACTATTAATGTACCTATCGATTACTCTACTCATTGTCACCATCAGGGTAACTGTAGTCAATTGTAAGTGAAAAGTTTTATAAACTACTAGCAACCTACACATACGTTTTCTGTGTGCAATCAAATTTATAAAGAACAAAGGGAAGCAGATGTCGAAACAGAAGACTGGACAGAAGATATTGTTGTTAGGTGATGGAGACTTCTCCTTCTCTCTTTATTTGGCCACTCGCTTTGGATCTGTTCGCAACATGGATGCCACTTGAAATGAAAATCGGTTAAGTTTGAGCAGAATGTGGTGGAAGAAAACTGCTACCCTTGCTGGTTGTGAGGTTTAAAAAGAAAACAGTAAAAACTTGCTTTTTCGAATTTACTTTAATGTTTATATTTTTTTCTTTTTAAATATTTTTAGTTATATTTTAAAGGATATAATTATAATTTCATTAGTTTTTAGTTATAATTCTATTAATATGTAGTTTAAATATTTAATTTAGTTAAGTTTCCGATGTCGTAACCCCTCACCCTTAAACATATTCTTCAAAACCACCTATTTCATTTAAAAATAATAATAGTAATAAGCAAATAAGTATGATATCTTGTTAGTCGATACAAATTTGAAATGAGTCGACTCCAATACAAATGATATAAGACGACCAGATTGCAACTCCACGTGATATATCTATCACTTGTAAGCTTTTTTGGGCGATTTTGGTCACTCGTGACTCATGATAGAAACCAAGTTAGCCTTAAATATTTTAAAGCTTTGTTGCCTAATGAAGTTGGGTTATTATTTTAATTAATATTGCAAGTTGCATGTCCAACATATATATACACACACATACATACATACATATACAGGCTGTTTAAGGATTGGTATCCCCATTTCAGCCAAAAAATGGGATGATGCGCACAGCCGTTCGATCTCCTTTAATGAGATCGTGCTGCTGGGAAAATTTAGAAGAAAAAAAATGGAGCAGGTCCAGAATCTTAATATGGATGTGAGATTTTTTATTGTGGTTGGAACATACGTATCATTATATGCAAAAAAAGAATTAATTTTTAAATTATTGATATTTTAACACAAATATCTCATTAATGATAAATGTATCATTTCAAAATACGAACATACTGAAAAATCTCTTGTAAACTTTGATATTTCACTTTTGTAGTGGATGTTGGACCACATGGTAATGAGCCAATCAGGAGGAAGCTTCTTTATCAAACCGTGACTCCACGGACATTGCAGATTTTTCTGCTTCTTTTTCTTTGCCATATTTTTTCTGAATCCAGAAGAAAAAAATGAAAAAGTTGCCTTTGGATCTGTAAGCATTTGTCCCTTTTATCTTTTTCTTGTTTAAGTAAAAAGAAAGTCTCCGCTCATTTTGTGCAAGAGATGTGATATTCACACATCTATTTTTACTTTTTACACATTTTTTTAATTTTCGAACGTCAGATCGGATGAAATGAAAAAGATCAAATTACAGAAATTAACAAAATGTGTGTGAAAAGTAAAAAATGATATGTGGATAGCACATCCCTTTGTGCAATTGGATGCGTTTTCCTCACTTCCATTATACAGTAATTCCAGCACTTAATTTATTTTGTTTTTCCTGATTTCCTCATCTAATAATATCATCATTTGGGTTTCACGTGCTTCGTTGAGCTAGGTAAGTGTGTTAACTTACCCTAATATTGTGAGCTTTCATTCTATAACTAATTAACAATAGGAAAATTACTCATCATGTGTTTTAGAACTCGTTTGAGAGTGCTTATAAAATTACGGAAAACACTTTGATGAAAATATTTTTATAATCAATTCTTAATAAAAATGCAAATGCTTTTAGAATCCAAATATATTATATCTAAGAACACTTTCAACTATTTTAAATGTAATTTCAGACGAGTCTTTTTTCTTACATGTTTTTAGAATCCAAATATATTATTATATATACTAAAATTGAGTTTTCGGATGGCAATATTGATCTACAGTGTGCAAACTGAATTGCCCTTCAATTATTTTGTTATCAGCCATTTTTTCCACTTTTTACATAGTTAAAAGACGGTTTTGTCCTCTTAGGCCACGCGTCCATCGGCGAAGGCTCTGCTTCGACCACATCTTCTGGAATATTCCTTCAGCGTCGAAGGCTCTACTTCGACTACATCTTCTGGACAATTCCTTCAGTTTCTACCCCTCTATCTCGCTTTTTCTCACACAAAACTCCACTTTGCCGAAAAACCACCCAACCAGCAGAAGCTTTCGGTTTGATTCGAAGAAAAAATTTACCCAAAAATGATAGCGTTTCTTGTTATATCTAAGAATCCAAATATATTGCTTCTAAGAACACTTTCAGGCAAAGTTCACATTATTGTACGGTAAGCTTCAAGAAGTGACCACGTAAATTGGTGGTTTTTCTTACATGGTTCGGACTCGATTAAAACTGGGCCAGTCCCGGGTCGCCTGTTTGATTGTGTATCTCATACTAGGCCTTGTTGCGTTCAGTCAAAACCCAACTAGGGAAACCGGCATAGCCCACAAGGCCTTTGTTGCTAAACGTGGTCTAGCAGGTGCCTAAACTGGCATTTTCCATTCGCAGGGACCTCAAATGGGCCGGGTAAATCCAATTCATCGCTAATATGACTCATTTAGTAAGTGCATTATGATAAAGTGTTTTTATGACCGATAAATCTGTCTAACTTTTTGAGCCAAATCCAATAATAAGCGTTACATCAAAGTAACATGAAAACCGGTGGTACCATCCAAGCGTGGATGTTCACTTGTTTGGTGTAATAGAAGTCTTGAATCAAAACGATACTTCGTTATTTAACTACGAGATAAATTATCCTTTTTGGTTATCTCTTAAATAATTCTTCAAGTAATTGATTCCTTATGTCGGATCGATCCACTAGCATAAACGCATCATGGATCAAAACAATACATCAACATACCATCAAAAGCCACAAAATAAGTAGTAGAAAGGTATTCATGTTTAAGAACGTCTTTCTCTTTCCTCAATAGATTTTAAAGTTCAAAGCCACCCCAATTTAACCTACAAAACTCATTCTCTTTCAAAAATGGAAACAAAATAGGCGGCAGCAGGTAGAAAGGCGACCGAGAGGAGAGAAATAGTAAATGAGACTTGGACGCATGAAATACATTCTGTACGTATTGAGGTAATGAACTTACGAGTTACGCATTCTTTTGCTTCACCTTCCCACTTTGTTGCTTTTCGGCAATTTATTTCCTTTAAACATTCGACGTACACAGTTTCACTCCCCTCCCGCTCTCTCTATATGCCAAATATTTCAAGACGAAAAGTGTAAGGCACAAACTGCGCACGCATTTCTTTTAAATCCAACTCCTCTTTTCCTGGTTAAGTATCAGCGGTAGCTAAGCGAGTTCAGTCGGGAAGTAGTAGGCGGTGTCTCTCTTATTAATTTAGTTACTCAGCAATTGAAGAGCGGTGTGATCGCAAAGATGGAAAAGCTTTCGGCAGGGTTGAGCCACCTCTTCATGACAATCTTTCTGCACAACTTCGCCACGTTCATGGTGATTCCGGCCATCACCGACGTTACCATGTCTGCCCTTTGTCCCGGAAGAGATGAGTGCTCCATCGCCATCTACCTCACCGGATTTCAACAAGCGGTACGTACAATTTTCTACACATAGATACTATAACCCAACTCAACGAATCAACTTTAATTGTCCACGTTAATTACAAACACATATATCATTGTTAACATCAATAGTTGTTAAGTTATTTCCACCACAAGCAAATTGATATCAGTATATCTCTAGCTTTAGCCTTTACAAATATCTTCTCCTTTGAAAATCATGTCTTAGGGTTATCGCCCGAGGTTAATTTTCTTTTGACTTAGTTATGAGCGGACTTAGTTATGTAGCTCATTAAACATCCCTTGATGTTATCAAGGTTCTAAAAGACGTTAGGCGCTAGTTAAGTGGCGGGCTGGACCTAGCGTTCAGACGGCTAGGCGGGCCCTACACGTACTAGGCAAATTTAAGTGAATTTATTATATATTGTATAAATAAGTGTCTATTTATACTAAAAAAAAATTAGATAATTGTATACATAAATCGAAAAATAAAATACCATAAAGATTATAAAGTATTAGAACATATTGAAAACATGGGGAACAAGCATATAATGAGTGTTTATCCAAGTATTCAACAAATCTCTTATTTTTTTTATCGAACAAATAAATGCATAATGAAAGTTATCGATTTTTTGTCCAAATGAGAGTCGCAACCTAGCCGGGCGCCTAAGCAGGCTAGGTGAACGCCTGAGCAGGTCTAGGCGCACTTTCTTAATTTTCAAATAAGTAAAGACTAATCGGGACGGTAGTCAGCCGCCTAGCGCCTAAGCAGGACCTTGGCAGTGCTAAACGAGAACTTTTAGAAATGTGGATCCTATCGTAAAAAATAATTACAACGCTCAAGCAATACAACTTAAAAAAAAAAAAAAAAATAGCACTTTAGTACTGCAAAGTGCAAACCCAAATGTCTATGGAATGATTTGATCAGCTAAACTAACTCAAGTGATGTCTATTGCAGCCCCAAAACTTTGTCTTTGTTTAAAGGAAACTTCCCCCAACTTTTTTGCGTAGGGTTTAATCAACATTTAGATTCAATACTATAGGTCTTTGAATTTAAGGAGGAGGGACGAATTTTCAAAATTAAGGCCCCACCACAAACACACTTTTCCAGTTTAATTAGGGAAAGAGGTCATCTCCATATCATTTTCTCATAATCCATCAAATCAGGAAATTCGTGCAGTTAAAATTTGATCAAACGGCTACAAATAGGGGCCCACTTTAAAAAGTTATAATAACTTCAACCGTTTGATCAAATTTCAACGCACGGATCTCCCTGATTTGGTAGATTAGGAGGAAGGGATCCGGAAAGGATCCATTTCCTTTAATTAGGTCCCTTCTGTTATGCCTTAATCTCTTTCGTCATCTCACCAAATGCAGATTGTGTCCAAGATTCCAACATAGCCAGTGCATCAACGGTTGGTCTACACATAACCCCTTTCATAGAATTCGAAGACACATGCTTTTATCACATATTTTGACACCTATTTATATCACCCATTTCGTAATATATTTTAACAATTCAAGCCGTCTATATTTAACACCTCATTTATAGATAACTTTTACAAAAAATTAGACAAATCCAAAATCATTAAGACATTCATCTATAATGAAGAAAAATGGACGAATAAGGTTCTATAAATAAATACTAAATTTAATCCAAGTTTCGAATTTGGATGAGTTTTTTGTAGATATGGTCTTTGAGGTAAGACATAAAAAAATATACCATTGAATTGTTAAAATACATTACAGAGTAAACATCATAAAATATGTCTCAAAATGAATATAAAAAATATGTGTGATATATATTGTGGGAGAAACCAAGATAAAACTTTTACTTAGCAAAGATTAGTTAGCGTGATTAGCGTTGGCATGAATGCTTATGGATTTCTACTTGTGGCTACACAGCCGACACTGTCGTGTGCGAAGCCGCCTACATGCTCTCACCCTGTTATTTTTGCAATCACATGAAATTGACGTACTATCGCGGTAGGTATGTACTCAAAGATTGATGCATAGGAAAAAGCTTCACGCGCATGCAGTACTTCCATCGGAAATTTCCCTTTGGTTTTCATAGGAGATGCATTTTGGCATTTTTCAATCGTATTAACTCGTGGACAAAATTTTACGTTCCTAATCATCATTTCATTTGTTATGTTTTGAATGTCAACTCATGATGTCTATCTCTTGTAATAAAAAAAAAAAAAAAAACTTTAACGAACAATTCTCGGTACTGTTCATTTTAACGAAAAATCACATTTTACACTAAAAAATCAATTCTAGTATGTTCAATTTACCTTTTGTTTTGTCTTTATCGTTAAAACTCAAAGTTTTCAAACCATTTCTTAAAAAATAGTCATCAAATCTTTCTTTTCCCCAATCAAAATAAAAGGCAAAAATACAAAGAGAAACTTAAACAAGGGGGTTTACGATTTACCTTACAGCATCTCCACATGTGAAGAATGGGATGTGTTTATTTTTCTCTTTAGGTTACTGCACCATGTGTTTATTTTTGTTCATTTATCGATTCTGATCTGTTCAATTTAACGCTAGAAATAAACAAGTGTATGCATGTGAAAAAAAAAAATGTTTGGAAATTACTTTCTTTGAAAATTTTGATTAGGAATGGATGGTGGGTCTCAACTAATGATTTGGTGTAAGAATTAACCTAGCCCTTGTGCATGATTTAGGGTTGAAAATAGTTTGATTTGTGCATGGTTGATGCAGATCGTAGGGCTGGGAACACTGGTGATGATGCCATTGGTAGGGAATCTCTCAGACAAATTTGGGAGAAAAGCTTTGCTTACACTGCCAATGATCTTCACAATTATCCCTTTAGGTAATCTTTCAACTCGTTAAATCCGTACCAATTAACAACATAGATAAAGTCACAGAGGATATTAAGACATAAATTTATGTACTTTTATGATGATTAACTTGTTTACCTATCACTTTATTAATACATTGCTCCAAAAAGTCCTTAATTCCAAGAAAAAAAAAAAGAAGAAAAAAAAGTATTCGATCACTTTAGCTTTATTTATTTTTCTTTTATTTTTGCTGAACATCAAGCTCTAATTCTAATTTTGACTATATTATATGAAGTTAATGTGAACTAAAGTTTATTGATTTTTGGACAAATTAACGGAATTGCTATTGGCATGTTAAAATAGTTATTCTGTAATCTTGCTTAATTCGAAAAACTAAAAGACGAAAGAGTTCGAGAAATTATTTTACACTGCTAATAACAAGTTCCGAAAAATAAGCAATACACGATTGATCAAGAAATGTTTTTTTTGGGTCAAAAATCAAGAAATGGGTTAATTGCACAATTACAGGGATACTGGGATATAGCAGGAGCAAGAGTTTCTTCTACGTCTACTTCGTGGCCAAAACTCTAACCGCCATGGTTTGTGAAGGCAGCGTTCATTGCCTCGCCCTTGCCTATGTGGTAACATTCCAGTCTTCCTCGCTCGTATTTGGGCCTCACCAAGGATTATAAGGCCCATTATTAAACAATTATTTGGGCTTATTATGGGCCTGAGTGTGTTAAATGACTAGACTAGGTCCATTTTGTTGCAAACAAAACACCCCATGTTTGTTCATGTTGTTGGTTGTTGGATTTGAAATTTTGATGGAGGTGTGAAAAATCAATGATTTTCAGGCAGATAATGTGGCAGAAGGAAGGCGAGCCTCGACGTTCGGAGTCCTATCGGGGATTAGTTCCTGTGCATTTGTCTGCGGAACCCTCTTCACTCGTTTCCTCTCCACTTCCACTACTTTTCAGGTCCAATCTCTCTCTCGCTCTCTAGGACTCTATCCTCTCTGTTAATATGCTTAATTGTGATCTGATTGCATTTTAATGTTTATAATTATTACTATTACTATCAATAGGTTGCGACGGTGGTGGCAGCTGTGGCAGTTATTTACCTGAGGGTTTTCCTACCGGATTCCAACATAGACAAGAATCTTTCCGCTCCGTTACTCTCAGACGAAAAGATCACAATTAAGGATTCAACTGAGACTTCAAGTGCTGAGATATTGCAGCCAGCCAAAACATTGCCTTCCTTAAGTGATTTAATCTCCTTGTTGAAAACTAGGTCAGTTACTTTCCCGCTAAGGGTTGCTCTTAATTAATTTGCAGACTTGTAGTTCAAGTAATTGCTTACTCTTAATTGATTTGCAGCACAACGTTTTCGCAAGCTGCAATTGTTGCGTTTTTCAGTAATCTAGCGGATGTTGGCCTCCATGCTTCAATGTTGGTACGTCTCTCATCCTATGAATTAGTAATCACATATTTAATCATTGTTTGTGGATGATTTGCATCTAATCATAGATCAGTAAGCTCTTTTGAACATAAGAAATGCTGAATCGAAAATCATTGTTTGTTGAGCAGTACTTTCTAAAGGCGCGGTTTCACTTCAACAAGAATCAGTTTGCTGACCTGATGGTTATTTCCGGGGTTGCAGGCACTGTTTCGCAGGTGCTGCATTTGTTTTCCCGTTTTGATCCTCTGCATACCTCTTTTTTTCGCAGTTTCGATTTCATTTTCCCTGACACTAAAAATAAACCTTGATGCAGCTGGTTCTCATGCCCTTGCTGGCTCCTGCTTTAGGAGAGGAGAGGCTACTTTCGATAGGCCTCCTTTTTAGCTGCGCACAAGTAAGCATCTAACCGTCTTGTATTTAGTCCCAACAAGTTACAAATTTGATCTTATTTGTTAGACAACTGTGGATTTGTAAACATTGCATTGCATCTACTCACGGAAAGTAAAACTAAAAGTTTTGACATGTCATTTAAGCTTTTTATCTAATCATTCACATATCAAATGCAGATGTTTCTTTACGGCATTGCGTGGTCCTTCTGGGTGCCATATGCTGCTGCCATGTTCTCCATCTTTTATGTGTTTGCACATCCATGTGTAAGTCTCATCGTTTCTGCTTCGCTTTGAGTTAAACATTGTCAAATGTTGTCTTTAAAGTGATTTGGTTCAAACTTTACAGATGCGAAGCATTGTATCGAAACAAGTTGGACCGTCTGAGCAGGTAATTTTCAGTATGCATTTTGGATTTTACTTCCCTTGCCCTGCCCCTTTGGATCCAATTCTTTTGGCAAATACATGATCTTTTTTTTGTACAATATTTTCAGGGGAAGGCTCAAGGGTGCATTTCAGGCATATGTTCACTTGCAAATGTTATATCTCCGATTGCTTTCTCCCCTCTCACAGGTGATTTGAAATTACATTCGTATTTTTTGTCCGGCCAAAGTTAATTCGAACTGATAAATTCGAATTGTTATTCCAGCTTTGTTCCTGTCCGAAAAGGCGCCATTTAATTTCCCTGGCTTTAGTCTCATTTGCGTTGGATTTGCAGCGGTAAGAACATATCAAGTTATGTGTACCTGTATATGTTCTGCTAATTGGCTTGTTATTTCATATTTGTATTTGACATTTATTTGCAGATGATAGCCTTCATTCAAAGCGTGATGATAAGGGCTGCTCCTCCCCTCTCGAGCCGACGTGTCAGTGAAAGTTGCAATCACACGGAGCCCTAGTTTTTGAAAGTTCGAAGACAGATTGTTCCTCGTCTAGTTCCAGGCTGACCCTAGTACATCACTACTGTAAAGCTCAATGGTCCTGTTGTGCTGCTGGCTTAAGTTTTTGCTGCCAATTTATTGACAATGTAATTTTGGTGCATGCTTTGGAAGGGTGACATGGTGGAGTCTGGTCCTTACACGAGAAGAGAAAAACTTTAGTAGGGTTGCCTAATTAGTGCAACACTCACATATGTGAGACTAGTAGAGAGAATCTCATATTTTTTCTGAAATGTGCCTTATAAATGACGTGGTCAGGCACTCCTACTCAAGTTTTTTTTTTTTTTTTTTGACGGTGACGCTCATAAACTTAAGCAAAAGAAAGCAAATAGTGGAATGTCGTTTCCTTTTCTTGTACAATAAGCTTAAAACATATGCATGAGGTTTTTATAATAAAAAAATGCTACTCTTACCATGTTTTTCATATCACATAATAGAGATATGACTCACATGTGTTAGTGAGCTCTACTTCTAAGAAAGTTGTTCTGTTAGGTAAATGTATCATTTCTCTAATAAAACTGTTCTGTCACGTGTATCAAACTAACAGAAATGGAGAACTTCACACGGTAATTATACATTAGCAACATAATTTCATAGTTGAATTAAGTTAGGCCTTTTGATACCAATCTGCGCAAATGCTTTCAGGTTTCGGCGTCCCAAAAGTTTCAATGGTTTATGATTTACGTACATGCCAAGGGAATGGTGGTAGATGATGAGTACGTGATCATAGGTTCCGCCAATATCAACCAACGATCTATGGCCGGTTCTAGAGACACCGAGATAGCCATGGGAGCGTATCAGCCCCACCACTCTTGGGGTAAGAAGAAACGACATCCTCGTGGCCAGGTCTATGGTTATAGATGTCACTTTGGCCAGAACATTTGGGGATGGTGGACAAATGCTTCAAGGAGGCTGAAACGTTGGATTGTGTGAAGAGTGTGAACGCGATCGCTGGAGATAACTGGACGAGGTTTGTGGCAGATGACTTTGCACCATTACAAGGGCATCTGATGAAATACCCTGTTGCGGTAGTTGTCAATGGGAAGGTAAGTGTACTTCCTGGACGAGAGAGTTTCCCTGACGTCTGCGGTAAGATCCTCGGAGCCCGAACTACCCTTCCTGAAGCACTCACTACTTAACTTTAAACATTAGGCAGGCTGCAGGCTCCTCCAATTTTTTCTTAATTACATGTTTATGTTTTCATCACCATTCAATCGGAAAAGACTGGCCTGATTGAAAGAAGAGTCTATACAAAAGGGGTGGGAGCGTGCAAGTCTTAGTGACAGATCGATCGCAAACACCCCATTACTTGAATGAATTTACAATTTAGGGTACATAGCTCTTGTAATTTATCACCTCAATAGGCAATAGTATATAGCCTAATGAAATGTAATTCAATTGATCTCTTCATTTCTTTTTTGTTTTTGGTTTACCATCAGAATGTAGACAATACTTTTTTCTTTATTTAAATTATATTTTAATAAGATCGCATACATACTATCTTAATTTATTGGCCTAGTTAACGTTTGTACACACGCAATTGGTTAATTAACCACTACACTTTAACATATGTTTTAGGGTCGATTTAAAACTGCTTCTTAAAGAGTTAAAAAGTTTTTTCTACTACGTTTGACAGTAAAATACAAGAGTGCTGTGATTTATAGAAGCATTTTTTTTAGAAAGCATTTTTGGTAGTGTTTATAATAAAAGCACTTACAGTAAAAGTGAAAAAAGTAGTTTTTAGGGAAGTATTCTCGAACAAGCCTTAAATAACGAAATGAAATAAAAGCTAGCACACAAACTATCCAACTTTAAATAAAGAAGAATGATGAAAAGCATGAAGGGCGCTCAATATATAAATGGTTTCACCTCGCACGTTGTCTCTCATGGCAATATATAATCTGATCAGTACAGAAGTCCTACTTTGCCTCCAAAAAAGGAAGCATAAATATTATTAATCAGACAACTGATCATGAATTAGTTAACGGTAACTTTGCCGACCATGCCAGCTCCCTGGTGAGGAGAGCAGTAGAAAGAGTATGAACCTTTTTCGGTCAAGGTGATGGCGTAGGTCTCCCCGGGGGCATTCAGGAGGTCCTCCTCGCTCATCGAGATCTTTCCAGCATCCACACCGCCGGGAACCTCGTCCTCGTCAAACACAATGTTGTGTGGGAATCCAGCATTGTTCTTGAACACAATTTTCTCACCGGGGGCGACGGAGAAGCTGTTGGGGACGAAGGCCAAGCCACCGTCATCGCTGCCTAGCAAGACCTCAATCGCCATGGCATTACTGGCGAGGATAGCACTGGCGGCAGTGGCGGCAACGGCCACACCGATATCCTTGAGGGATGACTTGACGATGCACATCTGCCTTCGGGAGGCTGAGACCTTAACGGCAGCGTTAACCTTGGCTGCACCGGCGGATTTGAGTCCGGTGAATGATGGGATAGCGACCGCGGCGGGGTTGACGGAGGCCATTGTATGTAGTTAATTGAACGTGTTCTCGCAAGCAGGTCGCCTGAAGTTCTAAAAGCGATCAAAAGGAGAAGATAGGAAGGGTGTGTTTTAATAGGGTGGGAGGGGGTAGGTTATGTGTGGTGGAGGAATTGGTGATTGGATATAGTGAATGAGTGGCATTGGGTGGAGATGCTATCCGATGACGTGGCACTGGAGCTTAGTGATGGGAGGTGGAGTGTGAGAGCTTGCAAGTATGTCAAACTAGTGGAAGTGGATAGACAAGAGGACAAACAATCTATGATCTACATATGATATGAATGAGTGGCTGATCTTACAGTTTGGGTTCATTTGGTTCATGTGTGAGATTATGGACTAAATTCGTCTAGTTTCTTGGTGCAAAAGGAACCAAATATTTGATCAAAATTAGCTACTAGACCTTGTGGCTAGCTGCGTGATGCGAGATTTATACGCACACAAATTAAACCCTCTTTTTGTCAATTGTAGTATAAGTATAAGTAGGGATCGTTCTAGACCGGGGATTAGGAGGGATTACTAAATCACTTGGAAACTGACTCAAAAACGTAAAAACAAGATAAAACACTAAACTAGACTCAAAGAATGTGAAACTAAACGTTAAAACACTAAGACAAACCAAAAGACTCAAAATGCTTTAAAAACACAAACTAAATTGATTTCTAACTAAATTGAACAATAAAGTAAAGGGGGATTGGATTTGGACGACTTTAAACTAAAAATGGAAACTTGGAAATAAAACAAATTGTAAATATGGATTTGACGGAAATGAATGGATGGAGGCTAGCTAAGGGGTTCTTCTCCACACATGTTATACTTGCATACAAGATTGATTCTCAGTTGGTCTTTCGATAAATTATGAAACTCAACACTCCGGATTAATTAGGTCCGCTTAAATTAACCGTCAAGTTTTCCTTAAGTTAATGAATTGGATGGGTTTGCGCAACGCAATTCACAACATTCTCCAAAAGTCCTTTACGTGAACAGCACAATAAAGATACAATCAAAGATCATTAAGCATTATGAAAACTATAAGTGTTGACGAGGCATTCGTTACTATGATGAGCATGAAACTCGTGCCAAGAATTCATTTAACGCGATTGTTTATAAGCAACCTCCACTACTTGTGAATATAAGTTCATAACGATTAGGTGAAATTCACTTATATTCTAGCGTCATATTTATGCATGAAAATTAAGCGCGCATTCTTAATAAACATTCATAAATAAGTTATCAATCAAACGGTTAAACAAATTGAATCCACAACTTATGAAATTCCAACGAAAGTTAATCAATTCATATTGCAAATATAAACATAGTTTCGAATCACCCCCTAGCTAAAGGGGGTTTAGTTCCTCATAACTTTGAAATCAAAGAAACACCTAAACATTCCAACAACTCAAAACTTGAATTGTATGAACGTTTAAGCACTCTTCTCTTCCATTCCTTATACGTACAAAACAAAGAGAATTAAAATGAAACTTTGAAATCAAAGAAACACCTAAACATTCCAACAACTCAAAACTTGAATTGTATGAACGTTTAGGCACTCTTCTCTTCCTCGTTGTTGTAGCACAAGGTTTAAGGATAGGTTGGTTGGGGGGATGGAAGTGTGGAATGGAGTGGAAATGGAGAAGATGGAGAAGGGGAAGTGTTTGTGTATTACAATGGAAAATGAGATGATTTGGTGAATGGAATGAATGGGTATTTATAGGAAGAGAATGGGTGTTAATGGATGTTTGTTTAAGGTATTTGGTGGATGGGAAAAGGTGTGGATGGTGGGAATTATGGTGGATGGATGGTTTAGTGGATGTAATTTAGGGTTTATTTAGGTGAATGTGGATGCATGGTTTAGTGGATGTAAAGGATAATGGGATGGTGTGGAATTAAAAGCTAAAAAAAATGGGATAATGGGCATTTAAGTGTGAATGGAATGGTGGGATGCACTAATGGAAATTATGGAATGGAATGGTGGGATGCACTAATTAGGAGGAAGAATTAGGGTGAAGGGCTTAATGCATGGATTTGGGCCAATTAGGGTGAAGGGCTTAATGCATGGATTTGGGCCTAAAATGCCTCCCCTTGCATGGCAAGGGAAAGGACTTGGGCTAAAGCCCACGGCAATGGCTCTAAAATGGGCTAAGGTTAGGGTTTAGGTGCGGCATAGGCTTAGGGTCCACAAAGAGTTAGGGTTTAGGTCATCTAAAAGCCCAAAGCCAAGAATAGAAACTCACGACAATGGAAACCTCCAAGAATAGAAACTTCCAACTTTAGAAACTTTGGTTACCAATTCCGACTTCCTTGCTCTTCACTTTCATTTCTTCATTTCTTAAGCTCCTTTGACCTTCAACCTCGTTCATTCCTCGTGCTCCATTTGCATACACCACATTCCAGCTCAGTTTTGCTCCAAAAGCTCCCAATTGCATCATTTCATGTAATATGTCCTTTAAACCTGAAAACACATGAAAGTAGCTTAAAAGACTACTTTAACGAATAAAACATAACAAAAATGCATAAGAACTAGCTAACTAAGGCGCATAAATATGCTCCTATCACTGCGTCAAAATTTCGTTACGATCATAAAAAATTGCACAAGTATATGTGTTATTTTTCTCAACAAAAATCTTTTAAAATTAAAAAAAATCATCGTACACTTCAAATATATTGAATATTGATAGGAGTGTTGAATGACTTTGTTTTCGAAGTATCTTCTAACAGCTCGCTTAACGAAATAACAAACAAATACGATCCGAATAATTTCTTGTCCCCGTCAATGCTAAAACTTGGTTGATAGGCCATAGCTTATATTCATTGAGGACTGATGGCGTGTTTATGTAACCGTATTGAAAATAAGAGGAATCGAATTGAGGGGGAATTGAATTGAGGAAGAGTTGGAATGAGAAGAAGTCAGAATTGAATCCCTGTTGAAGCTGTTTACTTAAATGCTCTGGAATCGGAATAGAAATGATACTAATTTCATAAAGCTGTTTACTAATTTAGCAGAATCAGATATAAACTAGTGTGATTTACTAAAATGCCCTTGTCCCAAATCAAATATTTTATATACTTTTTTTAATAAAATTTGATATAATATATAATAGTAAGAAATAAAATTAAATTGCTTTTTTATTTCATAGACACACTAAAATGCTTTTGTTTTATTTATTTATTTATAAATTTAATTATTTACTTTAATATTTAAATTTTCTTGCTCAAGTTGTAGTTTATTCTCTTCAGCATATGCATGGAGTTGTGCATAATGTGAATAAGCATGAAAATAAAAAAGTAAGGAGTTGTGCACAATTAAACTAGGGTTAATGGGTTTATAAAGGATAGTCTTGGAAGTAAAAAAAGTAAGTGTAAGCATAAAGCGAACAAAAGTGTCATTTTAATTGCCCAAACAATCAGGAATCCAAATACCATGTTAATCTAAAGAATCCAAATCCTCCAAATTTTGGAATTGAATTCCAAAATTTTGTGTGGGTCCTATCTTTTCTTTTACTTCTCAAGTTTAATAGACAAAATTATACCCCGTAATTAAAATTTAATTCCGTATTTTAATTTCGATTATGTAAACGCGCCTTGAAAGTAGTATCAAATGAAGTCCAAGGGGACAGATAGACGGAGAGTGGATTCCCTCACTCAATTGCTTGTGATTTGCGAGAGGAAAATTAACAGTAGCTAGCCGACACCGACGGGCCGACGGCACGTACTTACGCAGTAATTAAATTGGCCAACGCTCCGCCTTGCTGCATTTACTCTTCTAACTATTTCTTCTCCTACTTTCTTTGATCCCCACTCCCACTCCCAGCATTAAGAATTTTTTTCTATATTCCATGGTAACTACACGGCTATGAAGCCACACGTGTGCGGTGAAAATTCGTTAGTTACAATTGGAAGGACAACCAAGTAGCACAGTTACAGACTCACATGATAATATTGGCTATCCAATAAATACATATTTCTGGTTACTGACTTACTGTTTACGTTTACGGTATACAGTGAACGTATTTAATTAGTTTTTGCTAGACGGTAGTACCCCCTGGCCTGCTGTTAATTACATTAACAAAGATGGTTGCCGGTCGAAACTGAAGAAAGTTAAGGTTACACCATAAAATCAATTGGCAATATGGGGAGTAGCCTAACCTCTTATAAGCCCATGCGTGGTCATTTTCCCATCAATGTGGGACTCATTCTCACCACGCCCCCTCATGTGTGGCGAATCACGTGTGACAAATTTTCAAGCCTAACACGTGGATAACGCAACGGGATGACGTGGACACGTGGGACAACCTGCTTTGATACCATGAAGAAAGTTGGGTTTCCACCATAAAACCAATTGGCAATATGGGAAGTAGCCAAACCTCTTATAAGCCCATGCAAGGTCCCTCACCTCATCCCATCAATGTGAGACTCATTCTCAACACGCCCCCTCACGTGTGGTGAATTACGTGTGACGAATTTTCAAGCCTAACATGTGGATAACACAATGGGATGATGTGGACACGTGGGACAACCTGCTCTGATACCACGAAGAAAGTTGAGATTCCACCATAAAACCAATTGGCAATATGGGAAGTAGCCCAACCTCTTATAAGCCCATGCAAGGTCCCTTACCTCATCCCATCAATGTGGGACTCATTCTCGACATGCCCCCTCACGTGTGACGAATTTTCAAGCCTAACAAGTGGACAACACAACGGGATAACGTGGACACGTGGGACAACCTACTCTGATACCATGAAAAAAGTTGAGGTTCTACCATAAAACCAATTGGCAATATGAGAAGTAGCGACCCAAAACCGAAGTACCAGGGTTCTCAATTATGTTCTGTCACGTAAGTTGAGTAAGTGTAAAATAAGCAAAAAAACGAAGATATATATATATATATATTCCATTTTGTAAAAGAGAATGAAAAAGGAAAAACATCAAAAAAATGAATTGAAACAGAAATAAAGAGAAAAAAAATGAAATATTGACCAGATCGATATTGAGAGAGCGAGGAAGAGGGCGGAGGCAGCCGGCGTGAGAGGATGAAAGAACACTGAGATATTGGCGCGGCTCAATCAGATTC